ATCATTCGTGAGCGTCCGGACTACAAGACTCTCACACATCATGATTTGCTCGGACACATCATTGCCCATGACATGCTAATGCAAGAGTCCAAGGATGTCATCCAATACATCAACCAAAGCTCAACCGCAAGCATCAAGAAGGAAGACTTGGCTTTGAAGGCAAAGGAAGAAGAAGAAGAAGAGAACCGCAAGAGCAAGAGCAAGGCGGAGATCGATGATGAAGAGATGGCTCTCTTCGTCAAGAAGTTCGGCAAGTTCATGAGGCGAAGCGGCTTCTTCAAGGGAGGATCTTCCAAGCACTACTCCAACAAGTCAAGTGGAAGACACTCCGCAAGAGTGTGCTATGTGTGCAAAGAGCCCGGGCACTTTATTGCGGATTGCCCTCACCTCAAGGATGGTTCCCACATGAAGGAAGATAAGAAGAAGAGTGAGAAGAAGGATGAGAAGAAGGAGAAGCACAAGCATAACAAGAGGGAACATTATGGCCAAGCTCACCTTGGGATGATCTTCGGCTTCGACTCCGAGTTAAGCTCAAGTGATGAAGAAGGAGTCGCCACGTTCGCTGTCAAGCCTTCATCACCACCGAGACTCTTCGACTACTCAAGTGATGAGGATGCTCAGGTTTGCCTCATGGCAAAGGAGTTTAAGGTACCTTCTCCTCTTAAGTCATTTAATGTTGATCTTGTTAGTGATGAGGAGGATGAGGTTGAGGATGAGGTTATGGATGACGAATTGTTCAAGTCCATAACTAAGGAATCCCTACCACATTTGAGTGAGTTGCTTGGGAGAATTGAGGACCAATATGCAACTCTTGAGAGGCAAGAGACTTTGCTCATTCGTGAGAAAGAGCGGTCTCATGAACTCAAGAGTGAGCTTGCTAAGGAGAGAGAAAAAAATGAGGCATTGGTACAGCTTTACAAGCAAACCAAAGAGTCTCATGCTAATCTTGAGGTGGCGAACGCTCAACTTCAAGAGAGAGTGGATGGCTTGGACAAAGCATACCTCACTCTTGAAGAGAAGTTCAAAACCTTAAAGAATAGTGTCTCTCTCCCTAGCGAGCCATCTTGTTCCAAAATTGTCCCAAGCAATGAACCATGTGTGAGATGCAAAGATACTGATATTGAAGCTTAGTGAGCTCCTCAACGGAGAGTAGAATCCCCTCAAGGATTCGAACTTCGGGAACAACCTCGTGAGTTTCATCTTTGGTGACTTTACTTCCTCTCTCTCCACTAGCTTTGCTTGTTTGAGCCGCTATAGGTCTAGTTGCTGTTTGTGCTAGCATATTCTTGTTGTAGGCAACTAGATCTAGGATTTACTTTGCTATTTGTGCTGACTCCGAAAATTTTCGGATATATCCGAAAATTTCAGAAATATCCGAAAATTACTGCTTCCGCTTTTAATTGATTTTTGAATTAGTCTATTCACCCCCCTCTCTAGGACTAACTGACACTTTTACCATAGTTATGATGCCCATCTTATAACTTTAATTTTTTAACTAAATTTCAGAACTCAACTTAATCTCAACAATTCATGGAAATAGTTAGTTCCAACAATAGGGGTGTCATTAATCAATAAAACAGTCCCCATATTCTTAGAGTCATATATATTTCAATCTCCGCTTACAAGACAACTCTAGGTCATAGATCTTTCATAGAGGTTCATCAATTTCCCGCTGAGGGAGCTTGTTCTCTGACACCATATTACCATTTATTTCTTAAATAAATGAAGGAATTTTATGTCCCAAGATTCCTCTTATTTCCTCTAAACTCATACTCCCTCGGTCACATAAAAACATCTTCTTGAGCTTCACGTTTGTTAAAAAAAAAGAACTTCTACCACGTCCTAGTATTAGTTCCTTTGTTGTTAAAATATAAGGATTTATAGGTTAAAATTTTATAGATAATATAATGATTCCTATATTGATTTTCACGATTCTCGTCATTCCAATAGTTCTATAGTTAATCAGATGGTTTGAATAAGAATGTAAGCAATTCAAAATTCAAAAATTGACAACCGAAGCAACCGAAAAGGAATCTTTTGATCCAGTCTTAATGTTCGCTAAATAACCTAAAAAATCTTATATTTTGAAACGAGTCTTAGATAGAGGGACTATAGTAAGCAAATAATGTAGTGCAGTACTAGTAGTACTACCGGCCATGGAAAAAAATCAGTAATTAAATTATATTAGTGGTACTACATACGGATATTTTGATCTATTATCTATACTTTCTATATATTCTATATAGTTAATAATTACTAATAATTATTAGAAATTAAAACTTAATATGTAAAAATATCACATCATCGTCCACTAGCATTTAAGTACTATTATAGAGCATCATAAATCTTATAAGCATGAAACATTATCTAAAATATAATATTGTAAAGCTTAACATATAAATATGTCAAATATATTTTTGTTGATGCGAAAAACATCAAATTTAGTCGTCAACAATTTCTCACATTATTTTCATAATATTTCAATATATTATTTCTAAATCTATATTTTTTTTACAGCAAAACGTGAAATATCATCTTGTTGTTACCATAAATTTGCTTTGGCCTTCTTTTATTCTTACCATCAAATTCACATTAGGCTTCTAGGAGTTAGGCCGTGTTTAGATCAAATGTTTTTCTTCAAACTTCTTTTTCATCACACCAAAATTTTCCTACATTAATAAACTTTTAACTTTTCTGTTATATCGTTTCAATTTTAACTAAACTTTTAATTTTAGCGTGAACTTAAAACACATTCTTATACTACTTTTTCATTACACGGGGGGATTGCAATGCTATTCCCAATTTCCCAGTCCATTGCCGCGTAGTATAGGTCAAGCCGTCGAGGTCAACACGACCCGTCACTTTCAGGGGGTGTTCAAAACAATAATAAGTCCCTCTCCCAATCACCCCCTCAGTTGTCCTCATGACGAAAAAAAGAAAAGTTTCTTTGATTGTCCCTTGCGTCAACATCATGCTTTTGGCCAGCGGCTGCGGCTGCCCCGTACGTGTGTGACACTGTTAGTGTCAGCTGCACCACACAGACAGCCGGATAGGCCAAAAAAAAGAAAAGTTTATCTTTTTCGTTGACACGTTTCTAAATGGTTAAACGGTATATTTTTTAAAAAATATTTTTATATGATAGTTTCTAAAAATTAAATAAATACATTTTTTAAGCTTATAATAATTAATACTTAACTAATTATGCGCTACCGGTTTGTCTCATCTTGCATGATAAATTTAACATTTAATGTCTTAACTTTTGTAACACAATAACTTAGGTCCTGTTTAGATTACACCTAAAATTTTTCACCATATTACATCAAACGTCTGAACACATGCATGAAGTATTAAATATAGGCTAAAAGATAACTAATCGAACAGATTGCGACTAATTTATGAGACAAATTTTTTAAGGCCTCGTTTTATGTGAAACACTAAATCTTTATCTTCAGGAGATTCAAACACCACCTAATTATATCTTATAAGATTTGTTCTTTAAAAAGACAATTATCAATGATTTAAAATTTTAGTCCAATTTTATCATAAATGTCGTGTTTACTCCCTCCGTAAAAAAAAACCAACGGATGTGAAGAATAAATCTGGAATGACTGATTCCTGATGTTACATGGTACTTCCGTCACATAAATTGAAATAAATTTTAGTACTTCCGTCACATAAAAACCCAACTTAGGATGTGACCCGTATCGTCAGGAATCAATCAGTCAAGCAGATCTGACGTTATTCTCTTTCGCAAGTCGGTCAAGAAAGCGCGGCAGACGTCGTTGTTTGGAGGTGGGTGTTGGTAACCATCTCCCCTACACGAAAAATGGAGTGGTCCATTAGCGCGTGATTAATTAAATATTAGCTATTTTTTTTAAAAAAAATAGATTAATATAATTTTTTTAAACAACTTTTGTATAGAAACTTCTTTTAAAAAAATACACCGTTTAATAGTTTAAAAAGCGTGCGTACGGAAAAAGAGAGATAAGGGTTAGGAACTTGCTCTTGCAAACACACCTACTAGGGGCAACACCAATGTATATAGCAAAAATAGTCCATATAGATGGGACCCATATATATGGACTATAACTAATGTTATCTTCACAATGTATATGGATAGCAACTAGTATTAGGAGGAGAGAGGAAATAGAGACAAATAACATATTTTATTCTATAGGGGTATAGTTGGCCATGTGGGCCGCCCGGCACGACACGGCCCAGGCCCGGCCGTGCCTGGGCCGAGGCTTGTCGGGCCGGCACGGCCCGACCGACGCACCGGGCCGTGCCGTGCCAGCCCACGTGCCGCACTCACGGCCCAGGCACGGCCCAACACGCCTCGGGCCGTGCCGGGCCGGCCCGAAGGCACGATGGGCCGTCGTGCTTTTCCTCAGAATAAGTCTAAATTTCCTCCCTCCTATTGGGCTGTGACATATGTACAGCTACAAAAAGTCTATTTTACCTCCCTCTTCTTTGGGCTGGGGTATATAAATAGCTAAAATAAGTCTATTTAAGGTCCCTATTCTTTAGACAGTTACATTTATATGTCTATTTTTAGTCCCCATACTTTATGTACCGGGCCTGGCCTGCCGGCCCATCGTGCCGGGCCGGCCCGACCGTGCCGGGCCAGCCCAGCGTGCCGGTGGGGAGGCCCAGGCACGGCCCGACGGTCGGGCCGGGCCAGCACGGGCCCGACCCAAGTCGGGCCGTGCCGTGCTTGGGCCGGGCCAAAAAGGCGTGCCGTGGGCCGGGCCTTCGGGCCTCGGGCCTTATGGCCAACTATATATAGGGGCAGCCCATATGTTTATGGGTGACTTTTGCTATTTTCTTGCTATGGACTAGTTCCACATGTGGTTAGGTGGCTGAATGGAATATTTTATTGCTTATGAACTAGTTTTAGTCTACATTGTGGATGCCCTAGTACATGGAAACTTGACAGAACGAAACAATACAGAGCTTGTGCTTGGCATCCTATCCATACAAGCTAGTAAGCCTATGAGCATGTTTGGGGAGGTTTAAATTCTGAGAAGCAGCTGTTTAGTAGACAGCTTCTAAGAATCTGGAAAAGCTCTGAAACCCAGCTTCTTCAGTTTCTGGCTTCTTAGCTCATTTTTTAGAATCTATAACTACATATTCTCAGAAGCTGTAGACTATTTGAGACAGCTTCTAGCAGAAGCAGTTTTTGGGAAAAGCTGCACCTCCCAAACAGAGCGTATATATATAAACTCTGATCAGCTAATCGAGTCATTCATCCAGAGCAAACCGTTCACCAACACGAAGCCGGAGCTCAGCTGGTGCTCGATCCAAGGCCAAGGAATATTAATTACCAGCTCACTGAGTAGATCAAATTAATGGACAGTGCCAAGGAGGAGATGCGCCGCCGTGCCGCCACCACCGCCGGCTCGCCGGACGCCGGCGAAGCCGACTCCATAGCCGTCCACCTGCAGGGGTGGTGCAGGGCGTGCCTGCACCTCGCCGCGCTCACCTTCCTCGCCTGCGCCTTCGTCCAGACGACGCGCCCAGCGCTGTCTGACCCGTGGGACCTCGCGTTCGTCGTCGCCGCCTACGCCAACCTCGCCGCGCTCTTCGTCGTCCTCCGCCGCGTCAAGCAGCTCACGCCGATGTCGCCGGCGAAGGAGCGCAGGCGGCTGCTGCGACAAGCCTGGGAGCTGTTGACTGCCCTCAGCTGCGCGTTTGCGTACCGCGTAGAGCAGACCATGCCAGCCGCCATGGCCGTGTTCGTCTGGGCCATGACGGCCTCCGTCGTCGTCGGTGGGGTCTACTTCCTGGTTCTCAACGATGGCCGTGGATCAGGGGATTGCGACCGTGAGTATTAATCCTCCTTTCACAAACTTACTGCACACCAAGTGGTCTAGGACGAACCGTATGTGTATCCTCCTATTTGATTTAATCTATGATATCTTTTTCGAGATAGAGCTCTTTAAAAGTTTATATATTACATTTCTTTTGGTAAGGGGATGATATAATTTATCAACCCAAATATCATGGTGGTTCAGGGGTTCATAATTTAGAAATACAAAATAAGTGTCTTTTGAACAAATAGTTATTTAAGCAGAAAGTATTTTCTACACCTAGATGCCATGGCACCTAGGAATATGCATGTAATTTAAATAGTTATATAAAAAATTCATAAAATTTAATAAGATAGTCCATGATAAGATAAGGCACTATGCAAACATGCAAGTCTAAATTTGATCGATATATGAAGAAACAAAAATAACAAATTTTATCTGCACTGTACGGGTACTATTGACTGTCTGATTTTATTATTTTTGTTTCTCTAGTTGTAGATCAAATTTAGTCCTGCATGTTTGTGTATAGACTTGTATAATCACAAACGATGTTACTAAATTTTTTCAATTTTTTCTATAACTATTTGAGTCGTATGCAAATGATAGGTGCCATGTCACCTAGGTGTAGAAAATCATTGTCCATTATTTAAGTTGATAAATGAGGAATGTGTTTGGCAGAATTTATTAAAGAGAAAATATCTTTACAATCAGTCTATAACCCAAGTGGATAAAAAACAAGGTGATTACCATTTTTGGTCCGGTCTCATGAAAGTTAAAAGTATTTTCCTAAATATGGGTTTTTGATTGTTAATAATGGGGAACAAACGAGATTTTGGGAGGATAAGTGGCTAGGAAACCTAGCTTTTAAAGATAAATTTCTATATTTATATTCTATGGTCCGAAGGAAAAGTTCTTTTATTGCTAATGTCATGGGATCTGTTTCGCTTAATGTTTATTTTAGAAGAGCTTTAGTGGGTCCGAATCTTATCTATTGGCATGAGATGTGCGCTTCTACTGTACATATTCCGTTGAATCATTCTCCTTATTGTTTTAGATGGAATTACCATAAGAATGGTCGTAAGGTCAATGTATTTAGCCCTAATTAATAATGGCTATATTGAGAGAAATAAGATTATTTGTAAGCTTAAGATGACGCTTAAGATTAAGATCATTATGTGGTACTTGCTTAAAGGGGTTATGTTAACCAAAGACAATTTGGCAAGATGAAATTGGAACGAAAGCTTAAGATGTTGTTTCTGCATGAAAAATAAGACTATACAACATCTTTTTATGGATTGTAATTTTGCAAAAATTGCTTGGAGAGTACAGTTGGCTTTTGGGGTATATAAGAAGAAGTGCAAAACTAATTCTTGTAGAGCATCTGCTATATGCTGGGCTTTGTGGTTGAATAAGAATGATATGGTTTTTGACAAATCATCATCTATCTCATATATGCAGGATTTTTAGGACAACATATTGGCTCCGGTCTTGGGCACAACTATAAAGGTGTGATGATGATGGAGAGCTTCTGAAGGTTGCATGTCACAAGCTTAAGATGACGTTTATGCAACTTTTTGCAAATTATGGATGAAGATTCACAAATAGACTTGAATAATTGTGTTCTCATTATCTTAGTTTGGTCAATTTTTTATGCTTGGGTGTGTTTAATTTTATTTGAACTACACGTTTTATTGAGGGCTAGATTGTAATAATTGGATGTAGCTCTGTTGAGCAAAGGCCGGGATATATCTATTTCATTATTAAAAAAAATAAAAACTATCACAAGTTTTTTTTTATAAAACTTTCTGATATAACTATAGTGTAATGGAGTGCATGTACACTGTAACTCGTATGTAATTTATATGTAGCTGAAATAAAACTATTAAAAATTTGTAGGTTTGATGGTAGCATAGATCGTCAACAAACTCAAGGGCGGTGAGGTTGAATCACATCAGCTGCACTTGCCAATTTATTTTTCCTCATACTTGCTAGCATGAATCTTAGCGTATATCTAACGGTCCAAAAATCAAAAGTTCCCCCTACAAAACCGTCGATAGTAATCTAGCAATTCCGTCGATTTAAGTGGTTATTAAAAATACAATTAGGCGAAAGTATTTCGAGAAAACGTACTTTAAAAAATATTGAACAAATAATCCGATGATAATCTAAAAAGGAACTGGGTCATATGGTGGTACCCCGTATTGTTCTAGCATAGTCAGGGAGGGACGGAGGCAGTTCTATGATAGTTAGGCTTGAGTTTTAGACTTGTCTCTAAAGTTATAGTTAAATTATCTTAAATCACCATATAATTTTAAGAAAAAAAACAACTTATTATATAAGCTGCTCTACTCTTTGATGAATTCTGACTCCCCGATTTTGTCTATTTGATGAGCGTGGTTGATGGATGGGTTATTTGGTTTGCCATATTAATTTCTTGATCAGTATGTGATGCTGGTACGAATAAATAATGTTTGGTTGGTTTCAGAGATATTCGATTAGGTTACATTTTTCTTTGGTTGTGAGAATATATCCCTACATACATGCAAATTCGAAGTACATAACTTATGAAATTCGTTAAAAAATGCTTGTACATATAATTGTATTTTTAGAGATGATTTGATTTTTTCTAGCTAAAAAATGCTTGTACATATAATTGTCACTTTGATTATTACTACAGCGGTGAGAAAAACTTTTTTTTTAAAAAAAAAAGGTCGCTGCCACCAAGTCGGATAATGCTACATCGAATGAACGAATCGCTTGGTCCGTTGAACAGATCGTAGAGAAAGACGAAAAAAAAAAGAATCAAAGAAAGAAAGAACAAATGAAAGTGAACAAAAAAAAAAACAAATCGTTTGTAATAGTAGTAATATCGCAGTTCAGCTATGGCTTCCATGTTTTGTTTTTTTTGGAATAATATGGCTTCCATCTCCTCAGTGAGAGACATGGGAGGGAGACGATCGAACCGCACCGGCTCTCGCCGTACGTCGACGTCCACACCGTACATACGTGGAGGACACCGCCGATCGCCGGCCACCGCTCGTGATCGAAACACCGGCACCTGTCAGATCGACGGAGGAGAAATCTTGGGTGGAGCTAGCAGTTGCCGATCGAGAGACAAAAGTGTGGATGGGCTTGCTTACCTATTATCTTACCGGCGGTTAATTTCTCATCTTTGGAGCAACGCCGGTCGCCGGCGGCGACTAGCTACTCTAGCAGTCGTCGCGCTTCTTCGTTCTCTGGCCGTGCCAGAGTGGGGCGCTCGCATCGCAGCTGGCGCGTTCCATACGGCGAAGCTGGAAGGAGCCCCAGTGTGACTGTGGCGAAGCTGGACGACGGTCACGAGCCTTAGGACGTGTTTGGAAGCTCGGATAGCCCAATCCCATCCAGCAGCCAAACACATCCTTAATAAGCGCGCTGCGCGCAGCGCGAAACTTCCTGGAGCATTTCCATCAAAACGCGGTTTCTTCTGTGAATGCACAAGTGGCAGTATAGTACTAACGAGACTCAGACTGTGCTGATAGCAGTTTGTGTCCTTCTTCTTCTTCTTCTCTCTCTTTTTTTTTATAACTCTGTGCTAAGGGTTCAAACTTCAACGATGGTTTTCCACGTATGCCAAAGTACTAAAAATTGTTTTTTATAAAAAAAGCTGTCGCAATCTAGAAATTATTTTTTAAAAAAACTTTCAAAGTACTCCATCCGCCTTTTAAGAAAAATACGCTTTCAGTTTTTATTTGTAACTTTTTATCATTCATCTTATTAAAAAAATATGAAATTGTTATTTATTTTGTTTGTGATTTACTTTATTATCAAAAAAAAATATTTTAAGTATGATTGATCTTTTTATATTTGTACTAATTTTTTAAATAAAACGAATGGTCAAATGTTAGAATAAAAAAGTTAAAGCGACCACTAATTTAGAACGGTGGTAGTATACAAGCATCCGAAAACACAAATTTGACAATTTGGCCATTTTTGAAAACTATTTGCAAATTTGGTCCCTGACAAAAACTATCACCAGATCTGGACCCCGACCTCAGCGCCAGGGTCGATGGCGCTGAGGTTGAACACCTTAGTGCCGACCGCATCGGCGTTGAGTACGTGACGGCCCTAAGACGAGGATGGACGGAACGGCGCAATGTCAGCGCCGACCGCCTTGGCGCTGTGTTTCGGGACCTCAGCGCCATCGGGTCTGGCGTTGAGGTCCTACATCCCTTGGCCGAGCCGCGCCCAGCAGCCCGGCCCTTCTTTCTTCCTCCTCAGTGGCTCTCGGCTGAGGCGCGGCGGCACCGAACCATCTCTTTCCTCCCCTCCAAAAAATCGAAAAAATCTCCACTAAATCGTCACATTTTGGAGGGGAAATTGTTGGAGGACATAGTGGCAAGGTATTCTCCTCCGAATCCTCTCGTCATTTCGCAATTTTTTTGCTTGGATTTGCTCATTTGATGGATGAACCCTAGAATCGTGATTTGGGGTTATTTTCCCTAATTAGTTGGTTCTCTACTCTGTGGTTGTAGTTGTTGTTGGTGATGCAATGGTTAGATGCTCATAGAACCCTAATCTTTAGTGGAGATTTTTGGCACTTAGGGAAGAACCCTAATTTTTCCCCCAAATTAGTGAAGAACACTTCTTTTTTTTTAATTTTCATCACAATGCGAGAGTTCAAATTTAGGATGGATCGTTACAAATGGAAGATTGTGTATGTTTAGATATTTATGGACAATTTCGTTGGGGGACATAGTTGTAGGTTAGATTTTTTTTATTGCAAATTCAAGTTTTTAAAAAATGCAATATGCTAATATGTCGGTTAATGTTGTAGATGGATAGATTAGTACGATTGCACTATGGTGGTTCGGTGGTAGAGCAAAGTAACAGTGGTAGCAACTTCGAGGGGATGAGTGTTAAGCAACTTATATTTGGTGGAAAACCTAGTTTTGAGGAGTTAGTTTGTCGTACAAAGGATGTGCTGGGGTGGAGCAATCAGTCTATAGCTATACAAGGTAGATATGATGTTGGAGCAGGACCCATTTCACACAAGTACATGCTAGATTTGAATGGGGAGTTGGAGTGGAACACATATGTGGATATAGTGTTGGGCTCCCAATTCAAGTCGCTTGAGGTGGTTGCTTCGAAGCTTGATCGTACTAACTGCAGAGATGATTCTTTTGACCTCGATCGCACACTGTTTTATGATGAACCAAACTATGAAGCATTTGATGATGAAGGAGCTATGAAAAGTCAGTCGGTTAAGTCTTTGACAGTTGAGGAAGTCATAGAATCTCAAGGGATGGGGGTTGATGTTAATATGCAAAAGAAGGAAGCAGTTGATGCGAATGAGGGAAGGAGTCAGGAATCTGAAAGGGTGGAGATAAATGTGGAGTTGCAGAAGGAGGAAGCAGTTGAGGCTAATAAGGCAAGCAGGCTTGAATCAGAAGGGGTGGAGGTAAATGTGGAATTGCAGAAGGAGGAAGCAACAGAGGTGAATGAGGCAAGGAGTCAGGCAGTTCCGATAGTTGGAAATCATGTTGATGATGATAATGAAGTGGCAGATGGATCAATGGGGGGAGGTGGAGAAGAGCATACAACGGATGCTCAATTAGCATCCTTGGTGCGGTTCTGTTTTCGAGACAAAATATATACTCGGAGGGAGTGTGAGGAGACTTTGTTGATGAATGGATTGAGTATTGATTTGTTGCACCAACATTCAGAGGAGTATGATGACACACATGAGGAGGAGGGATATGAGGTTGAGTATGCCGTAGACTCAGATGACGATCGTCCAGTAGCCAAGATGTCTCAGGAAGAAAGGGAGGTGTTTGAGAAATTAGTTGGATGCAATCCAGAGGTTGTTTGGTTCGAGGATGTTAGCAATTCTGAGCTAGCAGTTGTTGATGGAGGAGTAACATACAATGGCATCATCGATGCAATGGATGAGGAGCCAAAGAAGGGTTTGGAATTTAAATCTCTTGAGCTATTACAGATATGGCTGCAGAGTTACTTGATCAGTGTGCATCGTCCATTCCATGTGAAGCACTCCAACGCTTCTAAAAAGTATACGGTGGCCTGCATCGAAGAATCATGCGAATGGCAGGTTCGTGCAAGGAAGACTAAGGATGGGAGGTGGAGAGTTACCGGTGTAGGCAAAGAGCACACATGTTGTAGTGCTGAGGCTTCGGGCAAGCACTTGCAACTAACTTCTAAGTTCATCTGTAATAGGTTGCAACCATTTTTCCGAGCTGAGCCGACATTGATTCCTGCTGCTATAGTTGAGGCTGTGGAGGCCATATGGCACTATCGTCCTTCGTACAGTAAAGCTTGGTGTGCAAAGCAGGTGGCCATGAAGAACATATGGGGAGATTGGGATGAGGCATATGTTCGGCTCCCAACGCCAATTGTTCTGGCACTGAGATTGTATAGGTCAGCGCCAGAACAATTGGCGCTGAGGTGCACAACATCAGCGCCAATCCATTTGGCGCTGAGATGCAGCCCACCTAGCGACTCAGCATCCCTCGGGTGGCAATCTCAGCGCCAAATCGGCTGGCGCTGAGATGGCCGACCTCAGCGCCGGTTCTTTGGCGCTGAGATGCGGCTCAGCATCCCTCGGGTGGCAATCTCAGCGCCGATTTGTTGTCGCCGGTTGTTGTCGGCTCAGCATCCCCCCCCCCCCCCCGCGCCAAACGTCAGCAGATGGCCGTACACCGAAGGAAACGGCCGTCACGTACTCAGCGCCGATGCGGTCGGTGCTGAGGTTGAAGTCGGGGTCCAGATCTGGTGATAGTTTTTGCCAGGGACCAAATTTACAAATAGTTTTCAAAAAGGACCAAATTGTCAAATTTTTGGTATAATTTCTATATAACTTGTACATAAGTTATATACGTCTAAGTACACTTCAATTATTTTATAGTTATAATATAGTTTTAGTATAATTACAATACAATTATAGAGTTTTCAAGGAAAAAACTTGCCATAGATAGCTTTTTTTAAGCAATTCCATTTGAGACTACCTATATTTATAGCGTCATATTTTTCAAAAAAAAGTCAAATCATTTTTAACCCTATATGTGTAAGGGATAAGTCCATTTTACACACCCCGAACTCTTACTTTTGTCTAAAATACACCGCAAACTATAGAATCGGGTATTCAACACCCTCAACTATCAAACCGTTCAATTCACCCCCCCCCCCACCTCGTTTAAGATCAGCTGGTTTTAGCCTATGTGGCAAATGACATGACATACCGCGGATTAGTGAAAAAGTATCTTAAAAACTGTGGGCCCAATCTACTTGTCAAAGTCTTCTCCTCTTTCTCCCTCCCCTCTCGATCTTTCGTCTCCCATCTCACGACGGCGATGCAGAGGAGCACCACCACGGCGCCACCGAGTCCTCCCTGTGTTGTTGAGTGCCGTTGCCGAACTACACCCCGAGGGTCGCCGTTGTCGGAATCCTTACTATGGAGCGCCACCACAGAGCTCCCCTCGATGGTCACCAGCTTGCTACTGTTGGAATCCTCACCGAACACTTTTCTTCCTTCTGCTACCTCCTTCCCCTCTCTCTCAAGCCACCGAGCTTGGGAGTTCATGGAGGCAAAGTTGTGAGTGGGCTCGCCAGAGGCAAAGCTTGCAGAGGAGAAGCAAGGCGACCGACGATGGTGGAGCTAGGCCGCGGACACCAGTCACGCTGATCTTGATCTCTGCATCCATCTGCACCGTCCTCGACTTCTGTGTCCATCCGTCAATGTGTTCCCCTCTCATCCTTCCCTCTATACACCCTCACCGCTGAAGAGGATGACAGAGCCCGCCCCCTCGGCCAAGATCAGAGAAGATAGGGAGATGAAGGGGTGGGGATGAGCTCGGAGAAGACAGAGGTGTGAGTACAGGGGTAGGGGCCGTGGCGCCGCCATCGCGGCGGAAACGAAGATCAATGCACGCCGGTTGTTGTCGGCGAGCTCGAGCTCCTCCTCGTCCTTGACCAAGCGACGCGATGCTCCACAGGGATGACTCCTCCTCGCGCATGTGGCTCCGGCGAGGTCTGCATCTCCTGCCCGGGGACAGCAAGCTTGTGATTCGTGAGGGAGGCGGTGGCAACTACCTCGACCTCTCGCTGCTCCAGGGGCCGCCCCGTCATATTCCGCCCCGTCAACTACCTCGACTTCTGAAGTTACAAACTTGCAATGTGAATATGGGCTTCTAGCCCATTTGTGTTTTGTCTGTTAAAAATACCCAATAACCAAATGTGCTTAAAATACACATCCAATCTATCCAAAATATTCAATTAGTCGTCGCAATTCGCAAAGACGACAGAAATGTCCTAAACTTGAATATTCATTTATGGATCGTACAAACACAACAAAAATAACTGAGATTTGAAGTAAAGAGTCACATAAGAGATCGATGAACCCCATCAGTTCTGGTCCCCAAATTGTTCTTCCACATTGCAAGTTTGTAACTTCAGAAGAACAAAAATATAAAAATGCATCATCATTGAGTCATCATACAATGAGGAGCATATCAATATTCCATAATTGTTAATGAAAATGTCTAATCGAGAGATAAACATCAACTTAATCTAAAAAGAATCAGTCAGTTCGATTTGTGAGATTTGGAAGCTCAGACAGCCAAGAGTTTCTTCAACTAGTACAAAGTAGCAATAATCAGAAACTCATCCAAAGGGTACCTTTATTATTATTTTTTGTAATGGTGCGACGAAATGGATAACGACGGCTACCTAGGCAGGAGACCAGCTCTGGGGATACATTTTGTGAGAGATCAAAATCCTGAAAATCTTCTCAATCCTGATATTCAATCTGAAGCTTCACCATGACAAATTTCTTGATGGATTTGCATTCCCTAAAAAAAACCCTTTTAATACTTGATGGAATTGCAGACCAGGTAGTGAAATACAGGGCGTGCAAAACTTACATATGGTTACAGGGGTAACTGTATACGGAAATCCAATTTAGTCTTCAGAAAACAAAAGGAACAAAGACACATTACAACAGGGACATTAATCTGAAGCTGTCTTGGAGAAACTGACAACTGAATTGATGCTAGTTGTTCAGACTGCCTGCCACATGATCACTGAGGCTCTCCAGTTGTAAACTTGCAACCTTTTGTGTGCATAATCAATGTTGCATTCGTGCACTGACTAAAAAAAACAAGGTATTTATTGGTAGAAAGAGGATTGTAGGCTACCTAATTCTGTACTAGTGTTTTCTACTAATTTTCTTTCAGTAAAAAAGAAGAGAAAATTTGGCACATGATGAGGTCATTCAGAGGCTTGATTTGTCAAAATAACTAAAAGCAGCACTGATCTTGGCCAGCATTTCTTGCGATAGGCCGGGGTATATGTTCTTGCTCCAATGAAACAAGTGATTTTGAAAATTAATCACTTGCTCACAAATGAAACAAGTTCCAGATCAATCTTTTTTGAGACGACTCGACCATTGTTGGTACGATGAATACAGTGCATCAGCTTGATTAATATGTAGAAAAAATATAAAAATTTACAAAGATAAAGACAAATATAGCGCATCGGCTTGATTAATATGTAGAAAAAGAATATAAAAATTGACAAAAAAAAATTTAAAATCTGACAAAGACAAAGACAGAAATAAATTTAAAATCTGATAAATATGCATCTTATAAGTATTATTCGATATAAGACTGTTTCTGACAAAAACATGGACGTTATAATTGAGAGATTTTTATGGCAAGAAAATAGCGGCATTAAGAACGATTTTAAGTGGTTAGGCTATGACCTAAATAAGCGATAAAATGATTAATATGTACCAAAATTATAAAAATATAACAAAGACAAAAAGAAACACAAAAACAAAAACAAAAAGGAAGACGTGATTTCATTAGCAAAAATAACCTTGCAACTCAAAAAACTTGACTAATCCTACATGTATAATGGATATATTCAAATTTGGATATCACCCCTCTATGGTTTCAGAAAACTAAAATTTTAAAAGCGGTCTCATATCCAAAACTTCCTTTCTTTCATAGACACTAAACTATGCATTCAGAGGTGACCACTAAATGAACTAACAGAAGATGGATCAGCACCAAGTTTATAGCAGCACCTTCATTGTACACACAAAAATAAAACCAGTACGTTGCATACCAGAACTTGACAAAATATGTTTTTTTGATAAAAACAAAAAAAATACAAATATGACAAAAAACCATTTAGTTTATAAGTTCAAAAAAGTGACAAAAACAAAATACAAATATGACAAAAACACTTATTTTGAGAAGTTCAAAAATCACCTACTGCAAGCTATCACCAACTGCATAAAAGCTAAAATTAAAAAAGGCACAGAATTTGTAAGCTTGTCGTCAAGCGTCAAAACTAGGTACCAGCAAGCAAAATGATAATACGTCTGCCACCATTCTTAGCACCTAAGCTTTCAATTTTCAGTTATATATGAAATGACTCCACAATGCTCTTCACTTTTTTTAATGACAGCTAACACAGCAAACAAATATGCATCATTATAATGCAAAACCTTCGCCCTGACCCTATGCCCCAACATGAAAATGTTCAAATTCAGTCTTACTACAAAATTTGAGCGCCAAAATGTATCATACGCATAGTACATAAAACATCTACAGGAACAATGATATCCACAAAGCTGAGCAATATGCAATCGTAGATCGATGGATAAAGAATTTAACCCATGAACAACCAACTATGAGATCAATGAAAATGTGGTTCGGGACTGTTGCTATGTTTTCTCGAGCTCCTATAATTCATTCTTCTGTCATACTTCTTTTCTTCTAGTTTCTTTTCTTCTAGTTTCTAACAGATCCTTTCTCATGTTAACTAATCACATAAACACTGCTTTTCAAAAAAAAAAGAAACTTAAATCTCTATAGTTGATAATAGAGTAAATTGCACCCATGGTGCAACAACTTGACAAGTGGGTGCAATTTGGTGCAATAACTTGCAAATTGAGTGTTCTAGGACAACAACTTGGCAGGAAGGTGCAATTTAGTATAAGAACTTTATAAGTGATCGTATAAATGTAGCAACTTATAAGGTATGCACGATTTTGATACAATAAATAAGCAGTTATTTGACAACTTAATTATTTGGAGCATTTTTTATATAAATTCAAATTTTTAAGTACTTATTTTTATAATATACTAGTGTGGATATGTATAAACATATTTATATTTATATCCTAATAACCAAAGACTGAAAGTCAATTAAACTTGATGTAGAAATTATTATATTTCGGTTGATATTTGAGAAAGTGAAGAAAACAAAAAAAATCTTAAAGGTAATTGGATGTAAATTGTATGTGCAATATAATTCTTAAGATTAAATTCAATATTATAAGGTATATCTGTAGGATTACTGTGTATTGGCATATTGACAACGTGAAAAAACTCACCTAGCATATGCTTAGCCAAATTGATTCACCAAAATTCTAAATTGTCAAGTACTTGTACTAGAACGCACCCACTTGTCAAGTTGTTACACTCGAACGTTCAATTCTCAAGTTCTTGCACTATATCGCACCCACCTAGCAAGTAGTTGTACCGTGGGTGTAATTTACTCTTGATAATATATTATAGCATGCCTAGATGGGAACAAACAGGCTAAAGAAACACATGTACATATTCCACCACCGAATCACGTGTAAACATATGTGCAACAAAATCAGAACAACAACATCAGCTCACTGTGTGGACTAGCTGAGATCCAATAGACAAATCTTGGCCACTCACCAGCCGGAATAAGAAGTCTAGGGGCTGCTTCGCCGCCCCTCACAAAGGCCTCCGTAGAAGCCGTCAGAACTGCCGAGACTACCTATCCGACCACCCTGGAAGAGCTATCCTTGCCTCCCTGACAAAACAGATCGCAACTCCCTGGCTGCAGTGCTGTTCTGCCGGAGAGGGCAAGGTCAGGGGCACCTTCCGCCGGAGAATACGTCGACGGCGTCGCGGCCACGCAGCGCGTCGCCGCCGATTGCTGCTCGTCGCCATGAACACTAGGCGCATCCATTCCCCTCCTCCCTCTCTCTCTCTCTCTCTCTCTCTCTCTCTCTCCGCTCTGGGGAGCACACGCACTGTGACCGTGTGGTACAGAAGAAGACGGAGTAGTTGTTTGTCCGGGCCCAAAACCACTAGCACCAATCTTGGAAACAATCCAACGCTCCCTAATTGAGCTGATAAAACAAAAATTTTCAGCCGGCAGCTGTGTAGCAATTCCCATTATTTGTTTATCGTGATGAATATTCGTAACGCGTAAAAGTCCTGCCCGTCCGCGCGCACGTCAACGTCTCCGCCGCGTGGTGTAATTTTCAGTGCTAGTATACTACAGAAAATGAGAATTTTCTTTCTGCGTTCCTCAACCTGTTAATAAATACTCCACTGGTGTACTGCAGTATGCACAGGCTAGACACTTGCTAGCTAGCTCGATCGGTCACTGGCCACTTCACATCTTCTTGCTCGCTCGCTCGATCGATTGCTTACAAGGTTTCATGGCCACTAACAATCCGGTCAGTCTCAAAGCAGAGGAGCAGAAATGCTATGGCGGCGGCGGCGGCCGGGTCATTCAGGCAATCACGATGCTCGTGGCGACGGCGGTCACGGCGCAGGCGGCGTACCGGGCTCGCCGGGAGCCATGGGACCTCGCCTTCGTGCTCTTCGCCTACGCCGACCTGGGCCTCCTCTTCCTGTGCCTCTCGATGTACGAGCGCCTGCCGCCTCCGCTGGAAGAAATACAGAAGGGGGACAGCGGCGACGACGGTGCGGCCGTGAGGCGGCGGCTCAAGATGGCCGTGTGGGCGCTGTCGACGGCGCTGAGCGTCGCCTTCGCGTGGCGCGTGGCGGCGGTCATGCCGGCGCCGGCGATGAGGGCCGCCGTCTGGGGCATGACGTCGACGGTGGCGGTCGCCGGTTTCTACCTACTGTTCGTCTACAGGCCTGTGACCATTTCCTCCTACTCCGAAATGGATACCTGCAAACACAAGCAGTCGTCGCCCAAGCTCGACCAGATGGTATAACGAACAATGTGGAGAAGAGGAGCTTAATGTTTAATCTTGTAATCAATATAAATTTGATAGCAATAATAAGTGAATTCCCCATTCACATATACTACGTCTTCTCTCGGAATGGTGGAATCTCTCTTTTTTACGGTTTTTATAAATTAGGCCATGATATTTTCTAATATTATGAATTGTCCAGTATTTGTTATAAACAATTGACTACCATATCCATTATCTAAAAAAGTGACTACCTTATTAAAATAAGCAACCAAGTAATACTAACATACTAGATTAAAAAAATATTTTATCTATGACATATCATAATATAGTTTCTTTTACTCATAGCAAAGCATGTGCATTTCGCTTGTTTTACAACAATTTGTAATTGGAACCGGATTAATTCGAAAAAAGTCCTGTAAAATTCATGCATTACTAGTGTCATGGTGAGGCTGACGCGCTTTGACCAGGCTAGGTGAGGCGACGGTGGGAGTGGGACGATGGTGAGATGTAAAAGCCAGATTCGAAGCTCCTTGAGGAAAAAGGTGGCGACGACGCCTATTGAGCCATTGTCCGAGCCGTTGGCTCTGCCGCCCCGTGGAGTACTTCTCTCCCACCGATGTCTTCTGAGCTACTCCTCCAGCTAGATGACGTTTAGTTACGAGACGAGACTTTCGTCTTCACCGTGCATAGCATCGCAGTTAGGTTAGGCTTGCTTCCTTGTCCGATTGGCAAGGGTCATAGGAGGTGGCAGCGACGAGTCTCTCCATCAGTGGTGGAGGTTGACGCTAGATTTTGTGGCTATGGCAGGTGAATTGTAACATCCTGAAAATTCCTGACAATAAAAAATCACTAAAATTTTGAAGTTTTTAAAACTTTCGCATCATGCTGGATGTTATGGTTGTTCTTGCTTGCCAAACCATAAATTGTCACATTGAATATTTTAATTAATTTTAGAACTATCAAAGCCTCCAAGTATATTGGATAATTTCTGATGATCTAATGGGAAGCAAATTCATTTGGTAGAGAAAAGGATAAATAGGAAATAAATAAATAAATATTCAAATAAAGTATTTGAATTTTTGAATCCAAAGTGTATAGAACTATATTTCATTCAAATTCCAATCCCATTCACTTTTGCAGTTTAGCCCCTCCCTATTATCGTTTTTCCTATTTTTCCTTCTCTCTCTTCCACCCGGTTACTGTTAATGGGCCACCAACCATTCGATATGGGTCTAGCCCAGACCGAACTCTCCCTGACCCAGCGTCGCTTCCCCCCGGTCGCTACTGAGCCGCGCACGCGCCTTCCCAACCCGTGCGACGCATTTTGCGTGACCGTGCGTCGCACTGCATCGCACCACGCCCGCATGGTCCCACCACCCGACCGAGCCGCCGAATCCCCGCGCAAAAGCTGCGCCGCCACAGGCGCGCACGTCAGCGCTGTCGCCATCTCGCGTCGCCTCGGAGTCGAGGGATAACGGCCACCTCGCCTCGCATCACCCCTAGCCCAAGCCAACCACCCTACACCGGAAAACCCACTCTCCCCAAGCCGCCATGGCCACGTCCACTGCCTTATCCACATCCAATGATATTCAGGCGCCCCTCCTTATGTCGGCTGGGTAAAACGGATCCTTCTACCACAGCTAGAGCTAGAACGCACAGACTTTAGGCTTTAGGTACGATGATGGAGCCACAGAACCTTAATGGAGGAGGAGATCAAACCTTATCCGCATCATCCACCTCCTTGCCCTTATCCGATAGCCATTAGAGCTCTATTTCACCTGGGCATGTGCTGGCGATCTTATCCACACCGTTTCCTTACACCCTAAGCTAAGCCCCCAACAAAAATCCCCATTCCTCTTAGCTTTCTTCCCGAATACATTTCGTCGAACACCTTGTGTGCGTAATCTCACCGCTACCAAAGACCATATTGCGGGACTCCCCGTCCGGAGCTGGAGGTTGGAGGGAGCGGAGGGGGTGTCGTGCTGCCGCCGTTGCCATTGGGGAAGCCGAGGACCGCTGGACACCGGGAACCACGCGTCGAACACTTTCGGGCGTCACCAACAGCTAGCCGCCTCTGCTTCGTCCGCACCGCACCACGCTTCGCCGCCCTTCGCCGTCTCTCCATCCCGGGGTAAAACCTCGAGCCCATAGAATCCTCTACACCTCTAATAGCTAGCGTCGGCTCCAGTTTGTACGATTAATGCCTATGGCTGTGCCGCCCCGGCCGCCGTTCCTCCGCCGACGAGCTCACCGTGGACAGGCCATCCCGGGTGCTCTCCCTCCCATCTTTCTGGAGAAATTGAACGCCCATACACCGTAGATGCTCCTGCGCCCATCAGTTTGGCCGGAGACCATCCCAATCACCCAAGCCCCAGACCTCCTCGAGCTCGGTCATGGCAGCCGTGTCGTGCCACTTGCCTAGGTGCCGCCGCACGCCGCATTCGGTACCGAAGGGTCGCCAGAGTTCCTCCGCGCCTTCCCTGGCCAGCCTCGTGCCATCCCGGCTACGCCCAACGCGCATGGCGCGGCTGCCTCTGCCCGGCTGGAGGTTGAAGACAACCTCCCTCCGAGCCACTGACAGGCCGGGCCTACTCCCATATTTCCCCTAGCAAAAAAATTAATCCGGTGGAAAAGGAATAAACCTAGGGTCCCACATGTGAGTCGATGTAGTTGTGGATAGGATTTCGGATTAAGAACAAATCTATTAGGAACAGTAGCTTTTCACAATTTCTCGGATTAATTCAAAATTGAATCTTTAAACTAGTATAACTTGCTCATTTTAACTCGGATTTGAGTGAAACTTGAACCTAATTTCATCTAAATTCATAAGCTTTCCAATGGTATATAACTCACTATTTAATAAAATATATTTATAATTATAAAATAATTAATATCAAGATGATACATAATAGTTAACTTAAAAATGTGTTAATAAATACAATTGATATTGTACAGTAGAGTAGATGTCAAATAATTATATTTAACAAGTTTTGTCACTGTAACAACCACACAAACTAATTTTAAATGATGTCTCAAATTAATGTATACGAAGATACTAGTACTATTTAATGGTTGTATAATTAAACCCATGACTTATAAATTATTCAAATAAAGTTTAGCCTTGTGATTATGTAACTAAAATATGAATGCACTTAGATCAGTGATAAACTTTTTAGAGAAATAATAACAGAGCTAGTTGTATTTGGACCACTTAAAAGTTAGTTGGCACAATGTCATCATGTGGAGTAGTATATGTATACTTCTGTTAACCTCCAGTGAATAGTCAACAGAACCATCACATACAGTAAACAGGTACTAGTTATAAATCCTAACCACATATTAGCACTGTGTATCTCATTTATACTATGATGATTAGCCCCTAATAAGCCGCCATGACAATAGAAAGACTAAGAATCTTGGCCCTTAGCATGATTAGAATCCATTAGCAAGCCAGAATAGTATGAGCAACCCTAGATTCGACACCATCATTATATTTTGCTTGTACACATTTGATTGTTGTTTGAATATTGGTTTTTATCACGTATTATAGAATTTGTATATCGGTTAGTCGTGAGGCAACGTATCCAGCTTCCAGGAAGGTGAAGGTTGATCAAGATTATATCAAGAATAGAAACTATTTTGAGCAGGCAAGTCATCACCCCATCCCTTGAGCATGTTAATCCCAATTGTAAAATTGTTTTGTTTACAAATAAAATTGCATGCAGTGATGAATATCCTACTTGTTATTATGCCATGCCTTTGATTATTGCTTATCTCATTATTCCCTTGTACCCATAATTACGTATGAGTCCCTAGTTACTTATGACAAATGCTTAGTAATGCTAATTTAGATTCATGCATTCTCATATTTATCAAATGTTTTATGCTTGGGTAACTACCTTGGGGAAGGTAGTTGAGATATGGCATATGGAGACATGAGTGCCACATTGCCATGACATTGATGAGATGATTTGTGAAAGAAAATTAAAACTAAACAAATGTTTTCGACTAGGGCAGCTGGATGACTTGGGTGGTGTCCGATAAAGGCTAGTGCCGTCCCTGGTTAGTTAAGGACCGAGCCATGAAGTTAAGCATGAAAGACCCCAGTACAGCCGCACTTCTCGAATGGGTGTAGACCTAGCGGAGTAGATAGCCGAGCGGAGGTAGTATCCCTGCATAGTGGTTTCACTTAGGTGTGTGGACGAACAAGCAGTGTGCTGGCGGATACCCAACACGGATGGCCAGAGACTGACTTGTCAAGACTACAAGACTACAAGGAGATACCCAAAAGAGGACAGCATGGATTGGGTTCAACTACAGGATGCAATGTTAGGCTTGCGTGAGTTTTCCCCTTCGGGAGCGCCAGAACTCCTCTCACTGCTAGAAACTTATGACGCCTAGAGTGCATGAGGGCTTAAGTTCATGAAGCGGATACTGCCAATGTGATGTTATTAAAAGGCTTTGCCGTGGCAAGTCTCATTCGTTGGGACGCAGGCTCATGTGTTGGGCAAGTCGCGGAGTACGGGTAAAGTGTACATCCACTGCAGTGTGAGTAAACCAAATCTATTCGAATAGCCGTGCTCGCGGTTATTGAGCACCGGGACATGTATTACACTTGGCTAGACTCTAATTTCTTAAACTGATTGGGTGGGATGCTGCATGATGATTTTGTACCGGTGGAATAACTTCTCGAGAGGTGAGAAGGGGTAGACCCTAGAAAACCATGACGACCAGTGGCGAGAAGCTATCCTTGGGAACACAATAGATGGTGGACAGAACCGTTGCTGTTTAATGAACAATGGAACTAAAACTTGAACAGTTTATGCTAGGTCTTAGGTTTGTGAAATGATATTTGAAAACTCAGCTTTACGCAAAGTAACCATAGCCACTCCTTGTATTATCCTGTACATTACTGCATTTTGTGTGGTGGCTTGCTAAGTACTTTTGTACGCATTGTTGCTCTATATATATCTTTTAGCAGAGTGTTGAAGAGAAACCCTTGTTAGTACGCTTGCGTACCTAACAAGATGATCGGAGTGTGGTTCCATTCTAGGTCTCATTCCCAGTTGACTGCTTGTGGCATGTCAACCGGGCCCTTGTATTATTTTGTCTTCCGCTGTTGTTCTCTGATAGTTATCGGCCTGCCTGGCCCTAATGTAAGCATTTAACTCTCTTAGCCTGAATTCATTCGTGATATGTTGTGATTCGGCTATGTATGTGTGTACCAACTACTGATCCAAAGATTGGTACTGATAAACACACAAGATTTCCGATTTACAAAATCGGGGGTCGACATGAATCCAGCCTTTGATCTGCTTCTATAGACTCGATTGTGAAAGCTGGCCACCGCTCGAATACCGACATGGATGATGTCTGTGGGCGCACAATCTTTCTTGAAGGTGATGTCGTCACACTGCCTTTCTCAACCGTGTCGTGGGTGGACTCTCCGGGGGTTGAAAACCTGGTTCTGGATGTCTAGAACTGTGATGGTGGCATTCAATATGTCGCCACCTTCTTGAAGGCATTATATCATTGGTTTCTTGTTGGTGCGGTATCTTTATGTAGTGTCTCCATTACACCTGGTTCGATAGTAATAATGGTAGAAAGATCTAGATAAATGACTAAATTACAACTCAATTACTCTCCAATGTTTTCTTCCGTTTTGGTGCGACGTTAGTCGAAGGCAGTGATGGGAGTGAATTCCCGAATTTCCCATCGACAATGTATTGGTTGTTGTTAAGATGTTCTGAATTTTTATTTGATGAAGACATGGACTACGTGCAATTGTAAACCGTTGGGTGAAAGAACGGTTGTGTATAACCCGACCAACCATGAATACAAACATGCTTTTAAGCCTTTATGGTAGTATTTTTAGGTTGTGTTTGAGAGAGAAGAAAAGAGAAGGAGAAGATATGCAAAATGAGGTGCGACATTAGAGAGTATTAATTATTTTAAATTTAAAAATGGATTAATATGATTTTTCGAATAGTAACTTTTCTATATTTTTTTAAAAAAACACCATTTAACAATTTAGGAAGTGCGTGCACGGGAAACGAGGAATTTTCTCACCTAATTCCAAGTCATTGACACTACATGTATGTACAATCATATGAATTTATCATACCAATCTATCCACTATCAAACTCGAGTATCTATAACAACTCCGGTTCTTGTTTAAAAATATATATTGATTTATCTTGAAAAGTATCATTCATCATTTTTTTAAGACAATGGATAAAAATCTAGCATATATATTCACAAGCACAACCATTAAAAAGTATCATCATAATATCGCAAAATTATTATACTCCCACCGTCTCAAAATACTTGTCGTTTTGAATTTTTGTTTGTAATGTTTGATAGTTTATCTTATTCAAAAGATTATGAAATTATTATTTATTTTGTTTGTGACTTGCTTTATTATAAAAAGTACTTTAAATATGACTTATCATTTTTTATATTTACACTAATTTTTACAAAATATTACAAGAAAAAGTCAAAATGACATCTAATTTGGGATGGAGGTAGTATTTTATAAGATTGTTCTTTAGAAAGATAATAGTCATAGATTTAAAATTTTAACCAAATTTTATCATAAATGTCGTATTTACGTAGTACTCCCTCCATCCCAAAAAAAGGCAAACCGTGGGTTTCCGTGCCAACGTTTTGATTATCCGTCTTATATGAAAAATTTTTATAATTAGTATTTTCATTGTTGTTAGATGATAAAACATAATTAATATTTTATGCGTGACTTATCTTTTTAATTTTTTTTTATAATTTTTTCAAATAAGACAGACTGTCAAACGTTGGATACGGAAACTAGGGTTTGTCTTTTTTTAGACGGAGGGAGCAGGGAGGGACAGGAAACAGTCAGGCCCTGACTTCCTCCCTTTTTTGCAAGTCTTCCTCCCTTTTTTGCAAGTCGGTCAAGCAAGCGCGGCAGACGTCCTTGTTTATAAGCTTGTGGTATACATAATCGGTCAATACTATATAGGAGAATTCGAGAGAACGCGGTTCGCCTCTGGTGTAGTACTACTTGCATCTGAATTTACATGGAAACTTGGGACAGAACGAAACAGCACAGAGCTTGTGCTTGGAATCCTATCCCATACAAGCTAGTAAGCCTATATATATATCATGAACTCTGATCAGCTAATTGAGTCATTCATCCAGAGCTCGTCGTTCACCAACACGAAGCCGGAGCTCAGCTGGTGCTCGATCCAAGGCCAAGGATTACCAGCTCTGAGCAGATCAAATTAATGGACAATGCCAAGGAGGAGATGCGCCGTGCCGCCGCCACCGCCGACTCGCCGGACGCCGGCGAACCCCACGCCATAGCCGTCCACCTGCAGGGGTGGTGCAGGGCGTGCCTGCACCTCGCCGCGCTCGCCTTCCTCGCCTGCGCCTTCGTCCAGACGGCCGGCAGGGCGCGCCACGATCCATGGGACCTCGCCTTCGTCGTCGCCGCCTACGCCAGCCTCGCGGCGCTCTTCGTCGTCCTCCGCCGCGCCGAGCGCCTCACGCCGGAGTCGCCCGCCGACGATCGCCGGTGTCTGCAGCGAGCGGCATGGGCGCTGTCCACTGTGCTCAGCTGCTTGTTTGCTTACAGGGTTGCCCGGATCATGCCGGCCGCCATGGCCGTCGCCGTCTGGGCCATGACCGCCACCGTCGTCGCCGGTGGCCTCTACTTCTTGGTTCTCAACGACGGTGACCGTGGATCGGAGGAGGATTGCCATGTCGCCGACGATGGCAAACTCGTCTTTCAGAAGATTCCTAGAGAGGAAATGGTGTAGGAAGAACCATACATGGCATTATACGCTCCTAAATGGAGTATTTTTTTATTTCTATGTTACTTTTGTGAGAGTAACTAAACATTTCATAGCCAACTTCAATTCTATTGAGTGTAAATTTTGTGAAGATCTTTATGCTTCATTTTCCCTGTTAGTGTGCGGTTTACTGAAGTTCTCATGAATCCACCTAATAAGCTAGGCTCAACAGAACCATATGTTCCTAACCACATTTGCTCGCTATGAATAAGAAACAAAGTGAATTGGTGATATCTCTGCTGCACACTCCATTTTTTACAGGTCTATACACTATACTGCCAAATATTGTTGTATTGAACACAAATACATTGTGGAGAAGACCATATTCATATATCTATTTGCATGACAAATCCTATGGAAGGCCACAAATTGGAGTTTGCGCCTAATTGGCATTTTACGAATTATGGAAGTACAATAAAGGATAATAGCTCTCATCTTTAATTGAATTCAAAATATAAAGATTTAAAATAATAATAATAATAGATAGCTCGGGTAGGTGAGGAAAACCTTATTTGTGACAAGTTTCAAACCAGTACCGTAAACCCCTTGGATAAATAAGAACAGCAAGCTAAGGAAACTCGCATGCAAAGGTACCGACCTATTGTCTTGGTTTGAACATGTTCTTAGAGGAGAAAAGGTCAAAAACATTTTTAGCATCAAATCCGATAACCACTATGCATATCCAATGACCAATGGCCGTTCTCGAGTGAGAATGATCACAAGTTCAACAGTGTGATAGTTTGTATTCATTGAAGGCACAAACATTCAACTGGCAGCAAGAGCAAAGGCACAACATGATACGAAACAATGCTAACCAGACTATGAATGCATCTGAAATCCACATTTTATATCCTTACCAATACACGGAAATTGTCTTAATGCTTCTAAGCTAAGGTAAGATTAAGAAAAGAGAGGGCTCCCACTAGGCAACCTTACTGCCATAGTAGGAAGTCAGTAAATGGATTGGCATGTACTGTGGGAAACGAAGGAATGAACTGGAAAAACAAAGGGAAAGGTGAAACCTACGGCAGGGTAATTCAGGGAAGTAGCAAAGGGAAAAGGGGAACCTACAGCAGGGCAAATTCAGGGAAGTAACAAACCAATTTGTGATGAGTTGCAATCTAATCTACCCTGAACCTAAAAGAAGAAATGGAGGCGACGTTACCATTAAACTCAATTTGTTGCAGAACTGTGCCCTCATTGATCTGCTCAATTGTCACATATTAGGCACACACACGCAGCCACACACCAAACTCACTAAAATCAAAAGCATTAAAAAGAATCATGCAGATCAGAGTTGCCACGGCAGATCAGCTACGATTGCTGGACTAGCATAAAATCTGGAGGATCTTAGGTGTTCTGGTTCATTCTTTCAGTAAAATCATTATAAAGATTAAGAGTAGAATGGTATGGGAAAGCGTCATGAATTTGTCCAAACAATATTGGAACCAGTAAATTTTCTGTTGTTTGTCCATCAGAAGAGCCCATTGCGCAGTATTTTCTCGATCTATTCATCCACCAAAACAAGCAGATTATCCAAGCTGCTATGTCACCAAGATTAACTTTGCAGTACAAAGCAGTAGGTGGCCAAATTGGCCAGGTTATCAATCAACAAGTATACATGAAAAATTAGCTCCAAATCTCACATTGGAATAACAGAATTGCAGTAAATTTTGAGCTACATTTTATTCACCAATAGAAACGACCTAAAATTTCTCCAAAGAACATGTATAATATAAAGCTAACCTCGCTCACAAGTCAGGGAATCCCCAAAATCGAAAGTCCTCCCGCGTGGATTCGGTCGTCGAAGGAGAGCCCCCGGCCGCTACTCGTCGAGCTGCTTGAGCTCGGCTTTGAGCTGCTCCATCTTGAGCCCCATGGATCGGCGGAGCGAGTCGGCGTCGGGCGGCGGGAGGCGCGCGAGCAGCGACTCGAAGGCCGCGAGGGCCTCCCCGGCGGCGTCGCGCGCGCAGGCGGCCTCCTCGTCGAAGTAGACGGTCTCCTTGCTGTCCATGGCGGCCTCGATCTCCTCCCGCGCCTCCGCGAACTTGCGGTTCACCTCGTCGACATCCTTGCCGAAGCCCGCCGTCGAGAAGGCGCGCCGGTGGGGGCACCCCTCCGGGAAGAAGAGGGGCGGGCGCCGCAGAAGAGGAGGGAGCGCCGGCGTTGGGGCGGCGGCGGCGGAGGAGGAGGAGGGGCGGAGGAGGGAGGCGGCGGCGCGGAGGAGGAGGCGAGGGTTTCGGTGCATAGTGGCGGCGGCGGCGGCGGCTTGGTTTCGGGATTCTCTTCTCCTTCCAAGAATTCGGGGGTGCTTTCGGCAAGTTGTTCTCGCAGCGGCAGAAATGACGGCTTTGTACTCATTTTAAGGGCTTTGTTTGGATTAAAGCTACTCCAATTTTCATTGAACTAAATTTTCTAGTAGGAGTAGAAGGCATGGATGTCTGGTTTGATGTCAAATTTTATCCACATTAACATAAATTCTACTATGAGAAATTTGAGAGTGTCAAAATTTTGGCAAGTTTTGACCAAACAAGCTTTGTTTTTTCCCTTTTATAATTGTGCTGCTAAATACAACTAATTTTGAAAATTTGAGTAGTAGAAGCATGCTGCTAAATATTTGGATTTGAATGTTCATTGCATAAACATCATTTGCATTTTTTTTTTCTTCTTCAAATTAACATTATAAAAGTACTATTGTTGTCCCAAAATATAAGGGATATGGGCAAAATCTCTTATATAACTATATGGATAAAAAAATGTATTTTAGGATGGAGGTAGTAATGTTTATTGAGTAAACACTATAGATATGTTGGTAAATGTCGTAATCTTGATGTCTGTAAGATATGGTTAAATGGTTCACGTTGTAGGAAAAAACCAAACGACACCTGCGAAATTTGAAGTTTTGACGCAGAACGAAAGCAGATTTCAAGTGAGATTTCAAAATAGTTTTCAAGAATTCGAATTTGAAAGGGTAAATTTGACTAAAGTTTGATGAAAAATTTCATACTGCCTAGAGTCAGGATCTGGCTCTTAATTGGAAAGGTGAACCTGATACTTAGTCAGTGCAGAAGCCTGTAAAAAAAAGTTCTACTGGGTCTGATAAATGTGTTACATATAAATTAGCACCGAAGTGGGGGGGAGGAGAAATAAATTGCAAGTCCTCTTTCTGTACCAGCAAAGATATTGGTAATGGGAGAAACACATCTCCATTTATCTCTATTTTATTTCAATGTTAGGAGAAAATTGGTGGTAGGAGATACACATCTCCTTCCATTTCTCACTATTTATTTCAATTCACTTGTAACATTTTTGCACTTGTGTGCACATCAATATGCAGCTACCTACCACTACAAAAACTATTAGCCGTTCAGGTGTAGAAAAATCCTGATTAGTCACTTCTTAGATAAAAATTCAGATCCAAAATCCTTTTGTAGCCGGTCCTTGGACTCCACTCTGGCTGCTTGTATAACATCACTAATAAAACTCTTGTCTGGAAATTCATCTGGAACAAGACTTCTATATGTATCAAACAGCTCATCTGCTTCTTCCTTTTTGTCTAAAAGTGCGTAAACGATGCCCTGCATTTTGGAACACCATGGACACATTGTTCTTGTCAAGGATCAAAATAAAAAGAATTTGGAACATATCACATATGACACATGTGAACGGTTAAGGGTACCTGGCAAAGATGAGGTCGGAAATCTCGAGGATCCTCATTGATAAGATTTTGCAGTTTCTCTGATGCAACATCCAACTGGCCCTGCATTTTGAAAGTATAAATTAGAAATAGAAAATCAACATGGACTCAAAACTGATGTCGATTGTTACCTTGACAACATGCATCTGAGCAATCAAAAGCTTAATGTTGCGCTCTTCTGGAACCCTTTCCCCAGAAATTGCAAGTTGCAAAGCTTTCTCCAGCATCTCAAAAACAGTAGGTCCTTCTGATCTTTTATGCATACACAGAGCAAGTCCCTGAAATAACATGAAATACGTGAGTTCATAAAACATCAGTATTGTCCATAATTTTCCATGATGAAAGACTACAGTAAAGTAAAACATTAGTATGTAAAACTTATAGTTTCAAACTTTTGGTACAAATGACCATCATGTATAATGTAAGAAAGGCAAGTTGCAGTTTACTGTTTACAATGCTGCAAATCAGCATTGTCCATAATGTTCCATGATGAAAAACTACACTAAAGTAAAACATTAGGTATGGAAAACTTAATTTCGAACTTCCAGTGCAGATGACATCATGTATAATAGAAGAAAGGCGAGTTGCAGTTTACTGTTTGCAGTGCTGCAAAATCCTGTGATACAAATGAAGAACAAGCATTCATCGCATAAAACTGTATTTCCTGGTGAAATGTATGAGCCTTCACTCGATCAATTGTACTTATGTAGTTATGTTGCCATTCAATATCTACTAAACAAAAGGAGCATCTTTATCTGATATCCATAGCAGTTTGAATTTCACAATAGGCAGGACCTAAGCCACTTCTACATTCTCTGTCAAATAAATATAAGACTGCAGATTGCCAGTCTTACGAGCAAGACTCTTACCACAAATCCTTCAACATTTGAAAACGCTAACACTAATTCTGCTATCTAAGGCAAGCATCACAACATTCAGATCAACATCCAAGTAGAACCTCAGATATATTAGGGGTAATTGCAACAATGTTTCATGCCACAAGTATTCCACCCCAAATCAATAGCCACCGAAACAGCATCATCGCAAGCTACAGCAATTCTACATTCCTACTACCAATTTGGTTTGTCAATTCTTTCACATGTATAAACCATAAATCACTCGCCGCCAAAGCAAAATAAATCGGCATGATCATATCATGATACTAATGGATTCAATGAGATGATATCAACATGAACAACAAACTGAATTCAGTGGACTGAAGAGAACAAGAGCAGGTTGTAAGTTGCAGCTCACATGGAGTGCCCTGACGAGGAGTGGCTTCTCGGCGAGGACCTCGTTGAAGAGGCGCTCGGCCTCGGCGAGGTCGCCTTTGAGCTCGTGCAGCAGCGCCTCCATGAGCCGCCACTCCACCTCGCCGGGCTCCGCCTCCCGCAGCCGCCGCGCGAACCCCAGCGCGCCGCCCCACTCCGCGCGCCTCATCTTGGCGAACAGCGCGCACTTGAGCGCGTCCACGTCGCCCGGATCGCGGCTCAGGATCTCCATGTACATCTGCACCTCGTCATCGGCCTCCTCCTCCTCCTCTTCTTTCTCTTCTACTTCTTCCTCCTCGTCTTGCCGCAGCCACGCCTCCTCGACCTCCGCCTCCACGCCCTCCTCCTCCTGCTGCTGCTGCTGCTTCTCCTCGGATTCTTGCTGCTGTTCTTGCTCTTCCGTTTCTTGCGGTTGTTGGGTAGGTGGGGGAGGGGATGCGAGGGAAGGGAGGGGGCGGACGCCGGAGAGGGAGAGGAGGGAGGCGACAAGGAGGAAGATGAGGGTTCTCGAGGTGGAGATGACCGGAGAGAGGAGGCCGGCGGCGGTGGGTGTCCTGGAAGAGGAGGAGGTGGAGTGGGTTCGGTAGGTGAGGCGATGGGGCTCGGGAGGGGGAGCGGAGAAGGGAGAGAGGCGGTGTGGTGGTCTGAGAGGGAAGGGGAGGGAGGGATTGCGGCGAGGGAGGCGGCGGGCGGGTAGGGGTGGCTGGGAGGAGGAGGCGGCGGTGGTGGAGAGGAAGCTCATCGCCATTGCTGACGTCATCCGCTTCAGGAGGAAGCAGAGGAGAGAAGAAAGAAGAGGAGGGGACTTGAACAGTTGGACTGATGGCTGAGAGGCGAGTTTTGTTTCATTTTCATAGGATTTTACATGGTTTCTTCAGATTTTGCTTGACGAAATTCAGCTCTACTCCAAAGAAATATGCAAAATTTTCACATGATTACGATGGGCTATATCTCGCGAGAAAAAGGAACCTGAGCTGCAAACACGACCACGAATTCTCTGTTTTTAGCAGTGGTGGAAGATTTTTTTTTCCTCGGATCTGCTATTTCTTTGTCGATATATTTGTTAGGAGAAAACTTTTAAATCTTAGAAACATCAGATTAGCTCTGAGATTTATGAAGATGGGAGTTGGAAAAAAATATAAGTGCTTGCTTGGGCAATAGGGATCAAACCTGGTACTTATACATAGCATCCATGTGACTATACCACAAACGTATAACCCATGTTAAATTATTTTATACAAATTATTTACTAGTTACAAACTACTCCCTCCGTTTCGTTTTGTTTGTCGTTTCCGACAGCTTCGGCGAGATTAAGGTTGACGTGAATTTACCCTTTTGCCCTTCCTCTTCACTGATTCATTCCCCTTCCCTTCTACACGTGACGGCGGCGGTGCCCCATCCCGATCCCGAGTGTCGTGGCAGGGCCGACGGCGGGGACGGCGGTGCTCTTCCCCACCACCCCTGTCGCGGCTTCCCCTTCCCACGGGCAGCGGCGCCGGCATCCTGCTTCCCCCCGCCGGTGAGCACACCCTTCTCTTTCCCCTCTTCCCACACCTTCTCTCACCTCCCTCCCGTCTCTTCGCGAGCCTGCGCCCACCGCCGCCGGCGAAGTCGCCGGCCACCGCATCCCGCCGCCGCTCTCCGGCTACTAGGGGTATCTGGCCGACGCATCCTCTCCTCCGAAGCTGTAGAGTAGTGTAGTGGCGGGTGGCGTTCTTTGCGATTTGCCACCACCGGGCAGCGCCGCCGGCTCGCCATCGCCGGAGCCCAGCAAGAAGCTGGCGTACTGAGATTTTGGTCAGGGTAGTACTCACACTGCGGCACTGCCAAGTCCGGCGGCTCGTTGGAGGTTTAGCATATTGGGTTTAGATGATGCTGATCACGTTCAAGATGATGATGATGATAATGAATTGATGTTGGTTTAATAAGGTTTTAGTGGGTGGTGATTAAGGTTTGATCTTGAATTGTTCATGTGGCAGTAGCTTTTGATCTTTTGATTATTCGCAATATTACTTGTAGATTTGCTCTGAATTTTTGCAAGGTGTGTTGCAGATAATTCTTCATTTTGCAGGAACGATTTGCTTCTAATAAAATGCTTAGTGTGACAATGACCATCATGGCACCAATATTTCACTTGTAATTAGCAGTTTTACCTAGGTAATCTGTGACTAATGCAATGCTGACACCACAGTTGAGCTAGATCAGTGGATAAAGTAGATATTATCTGAACATTATTTGTGCCTAATGTAATGCTGACACTATAGTTGAGCTACACCAGCAGAACTAAATTAAAATGATAAATTCTATCTGATTCCTGGACAACAGTGTATGGTTTACGGAGTAGTTTCTTTGAATTGATCGGTTGTTGTTTACCATGTGTTTCTTGTCTTCTGGTATTTTTTACCATGTTTATTTGGTTGTTCATTTCTTGTCCGTTCTTGATTTTGTATGGAAGATACTGGGTGTTCTTCCTGGACGCCGTTGGTCATGACGAAGGAGGAGGGCAGGGTAGGTAGACGTCGCAAATTTGTCACACCATGGAAGAAAGCGGCTCAGGAGGTCGGCGACGGCGGTGCAGAGGATCGTGTCGAGCGCCTCGCCGCCGCGGCTTCGTCCTCAACTGCTCTCTCTCCAAGGTTCGTATTCGATTTTTTTTCGATGATGTATTTTGTGTTCCTAAAATGTGTTATTTTCAGGAAAACTCTATAGATGCTCACTATTGCGAGGTTAAATGAATTTTCACATCTAACCTCACATAGTTCAGTTCATGGCTACTGCTTGTGCAAAATTCGATTAATTAGAGCAAGGAAATAGCACTGTATTTCTATTTACAGGGAGCTGTTGCTGGTTGTTCTAGTTTATGCAAACATTTAGCATAAGTCTTTTCCTTATCTTATTGCTTCATAAATTGGAGTTCTTGTTATTGTATAATTTCTTGTTAGATCACATGGTTGTCTATCCAGTTATGCTATACAACCAGTACTAGATGTCTTACAGAATGGATGCTTTTACGGTTTTACCTTTTCTCAGAACCTTACTATGCTTTTCACTCTTAACATTTGATGCAACTTATAATCCAAAATGTGCATTCATGACAACTTCGTTGCAACACCTTTTGCAGGGTTACACTAGATGGGTCCAATGTTGGAGGGAAAAGAGGCAAAAAAAGGAAGTCTCCCTGCGTGGCAATGCCATTCTTTAGAACCCCGTTGAGCAGAATGTTACTGTCCCCTAGCATACGGATAAGGTCTCCTTCTATACAACAACGAACATCACCTTCTGCTACAACCCATGGAATTTGTCAAGGTCGAGAGCAAAGAACAATGGATATTGATTTAAATTTGGAACCGGGAGATACATATGCTGCCACAGATCCCGGAGAGGCTGGATTTGATCACAGTGCTGCCACAGATGCTCAAGGCAATGGAGAGGCTGGATTCGATCACAGTGCTGCCACAGATGCTCAAGGCAATGGAGAGGCTGGATTTGATCCCTTCGATTCAAATGCTGATGATGATGTCCTAGTCACTCTAGAGGAGATAGGTGTTGACCCTGGCCAGGAGAATGTACAGCCTCAGTTTGATCCTTTCTTCGATTCTGATGTTGATGATGCTATCCTAGTTCCTCAGGAGAATACACACAAGAATGTCGTGCTTGATAATGACAAACGGAGAGCAATCTTTGACGCCATGCTTGTAAAGGCAAGAAAAGGATATTTGAAGGGCCATGAGAGCAAGGAGGTTTCAGCTAAATTCTCGGTGCCTATCAGGACAGTACAGCGGATATGGAAAAAAGGCAAAAGCTGTTTGGATCAAGGTATTTCAGTTGATGTTGCGAGTGGAAGATCTAGGTGTGGCAGAAAGAAGAAGGTGGTGGATGTGTCCTGTCTCGAAGATATTTCAATATTGAGCCGCACCACAATACAGGATGTAGCTACTCAACTTGGTGTTAGCACGAGTAAGGTCTACAGAATGAAAAAAGAGGGTGCTATAAAGCGTGTATCTAGCTCATTGGATCCCCACTTGACAGACCAAAACAAAATTGATCGGCTGAAGTGGTGTATTGAAATGCTTGACCCAAGGAGTGTGCCTCACAATCTTGTCTTCAAACCACTGTTTGATTTCATTTTCATAGATGAGAAGTGGTTCAACATTACGAGGAAGACTGTGCGATATTACGCAGCTCCAACTGCCTCGCGTCGCATCAGGACAATTCAAAACAAAAACTTCATCCCAAAAATAATGATCTTAACAGCTCTCGCCAGACCAAGGTTTGACTCAAATGGAAACTGCATCTTTGATGGAAAAATTGGATGTTTTCCTTTTGTGACATACACAGCTGCAAAGAGGTCAAGTGTGAACCGTCCTGCAGGGACAATCGAGATGAAGCCCATTGAGTCAATCACAAAGGAGGTAATCCGAAGCTTCATGATAGAAAAGGTATTGCCAGCTGTTCGGGCTAAGTGGCCTCGTGAAGACGCTGGCAAACCTATATACATCCAGCAGGATAATGCTCGGCCTCATATTGCACCGGACGACAGAATGTTTTGTGAGGCCGCGAAGCAAGACGGCTTTAACATCAAACTTGTTTGCCAGCCGGCAAATTCCCCAGATTTGAATGTCTTGGATCTGGGTTTCTTCAACTCCATTCAGTCCATCCAGTACAAATCAGCCTCAACAACAACAGAAGAACTTGTAGCCGCCATCGATCGAGCATTTGAAGATTATCCAGTGAGGCTATCAAACAGGATTTTCTTGTCTCTTCACGCATGCATGAGGGAAGTCATAGAAGTACTCGGTGACAACTCCTATGATCTTCCACACATAAAAAAAGGAGTGCTTGAAAGGCAAGGTCGCCTTCCTTTGCAACTAAGGTGTGATGCTAAGTCAGTAAATAATGCTAACAATTATCTCAGGTAAACTACTTTGGTTATATTTTATTTTCATGAAAATCGCTTCATGTGCCTAACTAGTTTGATGTGTGCTAATTAGTGGCATTTTTTTTACTCCTTTTCAGGACCATGGCAGATACCTGATATGAATTTGTTTGTTGCTGCAGCAGGGTGCGGATATGAAATTGCTGCTAAGCTAATCTGAAATTTTTGGTGTTGCTGCTGTTGCTGTTGCTGCTGTTGTTGATATCTGAAATTGTTGGTGTTACTGCTGTTGCTGATATCTGAAATTGTTGGTGCTGTTGTTGATCTGAACAGAATGAATTGGAGGCTTTCTTTTTTTTCTCTCTTTTTCTAGAAAGTAGCCCATGTGTGCAGTCATTCTGTGCAGAACATGTCCTTTGATTTTTGAGAAAGCAGGAGGATATATGGACCTGAATATGTCCTTTGATTTTTTTATTAGTATTTTTATTTCACATGAACACATTAGCTAAGCTTATCTAAGATCAATGGTGTGAACTGTCAATGGTCCTTTGATATAATTACAGACTAGCTATCTCAATTTACAAGAAACAGCAACTGGGATGGCAGCAGCCACTTTACAAGCTCTGTGTCTGAATACTCTGTTTACAGACTAGCTATCTCAATTTACAAGAAACATCAGCTGGGATGGCAGCAGCCACTTTACAAGCTTGGTGTGCATCTCTGAATCTGTATCTCAAGTTCCAATTTTTGTTTCCAATTTCTCATTATAACATCCAAAATTCCCACGCATATTACATCACTGACAGTACTAAGCACTAATCATCTGATCAAATACACAACAATCAGTCCCTAGTGAACACGACCAGAATTTCCCAGAAACAGAAAAATTTCCCCTTCGATGAACATCAAATAGCCAAGCAAATGCAATGTGCATTCTCTAAAAAACGAACATCAACAATCAACATACGGCTAACCAAATCAGACAATCTGCAGGCCGTTCAGTAGCTTAATCTGCAATCAAGTGCACAGCTATCTTAACCGGATGAAATAATCAGGTAAATTCTGGACATCCAGCTGAAGAAAGAAAAAAGAAAGGAGGAGACTTGTGGCAATGGAGCTTTTCGAAGCCCGGCGATCTCCTGCACCAACGAGACGTGCACCAGCACCGTCCTCCACGCCATGTATCAGCCTGCGAACCCGCCGCCGCCGCGAGCAGCGAACGAAAGAATCAGGGAAAAGCCCTCGAGCCAAAGCCGAATCGAGAGGAGGAGAGGGCAGCCGTACTGAGGGCGATGATGGAGAGGACGAAGGCGGAGGCAAGGAGCGGCCGGAGGACGGAAGACGACGGCGATCTCCCACGCTGCCGCCGCCAGCGTGGCTCCTCCTCCGGCCATGGTGCCGCGGTGGCGCTTCGTCGGCGGAAGGGGACTATGCGCGTGGGAGGCGGCGCCGGACTTGAGCGCCATGCGTGGAGGGCCTCGCCGTGGCAGGGGCAGGAGGACCGCCGGCGGAGGAGCTCCTCCTGCTTCTCCGCGCCGCCGACTGAGGGGTAAAGATGGAAACGGTATCGGCCGGTGTACTACGACGTCAAACATTTTGACTCTTTTTGAAATGAGCTACAGCGACTAACAAAACGAAACGGAGGGAGTACATTGTAACTATGTTGTAACCTCTGTAGGAGTATAACTTAGGTATAAAGTTGTATATACATATTTTTAGTATTTATATACAAGTTATATTGTATTTATAGTGGAAATAATACAATAATATAAACTATATTATTGTTACATTTAAAGTTTTTCAGTTAAAAAACTTGCGACGGTTTGTTAGATAGTCTTTTTTTCTTAAGTTAAATTTCACACTACAACAATGGTTGAAATTTATGCAAACTCATTAGGAGTTTAGCATTAGTCCTAACCACAATGTTATATGGTATCAGAGCATCATAAACCGCACTAAACAAATTTAGCTATTCTTACACATGAGAAATTTAGCTATTCTTACACGCGAGAATATCTATAAAATATTCAAAAGTTTTTTAAAATAAAAAACTTTTCAAATGTAACTATAATATAATTATGAGTGTAAATATGTTGTAACTAATATATAACTAGTAACTTATATATAACTTTCACAAATTCACGAGAAACGTGTAGCGGTGCAAGTGTAAGTGACTAGCACGATGAATATTTTCTCTCCCCTCAGATGCATGAATCTCCTAAAACACACTTGAAGGTCGAAAATCTGAGTTTTTTGGGACAAGAAATGATGAGCGATCTATAGCAATTTCACTTACAGCTTACACATTGGGTTTCTATACTAAACAAAAGGATGTTGGCTACGTGCATACCTTTTAGGCTAGTAGGGAGTAGATGTAGAGGCTTGTATTATGGTATAATTTCAGTGCTTAATGAAATATTCCTATTATCTTAAAGAAATATCTGCATGCAAATGTGGCCATTCCACCTGCAATTGGCCTTACTTCATAATATCATAAGTGGAACAGTTAATGATATAATGTATCCAGTAATTCAAAACCAATTGGTGAATAAAAAGATACAGGGATTATACTCGTAGGATGCCAATCTAAAACGTGCTCAATAAAAAGATACATGGATATACTCGTAGGATGCCAATCTAAAGCGTGCTCAAACATAAGTTTTCAACAAGGACCAGACAGCAAGCGTGCTCAAACATAAGGACCAGACAGCGGACCACCAAACTAGAATGATGTTGGTATTACAAGTGATGAAGACAGCCACAAAAGTTTTCCTTTAAGATGCAAGTTACAACCAAATCAATTTGATCGCTGTCTATAAATCAAATATCTAACATGTTATACAACCACATTGTTTTGTTCCGTGGTTGCAGTTTGGTGACGGAGTGCTGTTGAAACAGGACAGTTTCTCCTGAGCTTTTGATAGAGAAAAAGTAAGAGTAGCCAAGCTTTAAGCTTCTTGCTTGTACAAAATTACGTAAGATTTGCCTACAGATTTCAAAAATGGAATATGTGTATTCCTTTCTAACTTTTTTATCTCTTCAACATGTTGCAAGTACTCCTTTTCTAATTGCTTGTATCTTTTTTGTACATCTCGGCCTTAAGAACTCCAACATAAGGCAGGTTGCGGTAGAGTTCAGCATAATCCATGCCATATCCAACAACAAAGGAATCTGGGCACTGAAAAAGGAAAAAATAAATAAAATGGTGATTAATTTAACATTGCAAAGGAGGGATGGGGCAATCATTCAACTGTTCCCAATGAAATTATGAAACAAGCACACCAGGAAGTAAAGCTATCTTGACGTCAACATCATGCAGCATATAAATTTAAATACCACATTGTTAAGTAGTTCATACCTCAAAACCTCTATAAAATTTTCCATCCCCCACTAGCTGAAAATTAGCAGTTCTCCTTGCCGGTTTGTCAAGAAAAGTGCAGACTGATATGGATGATGCTCCTTTCTTTTCTAAATAAGCAATAAGACAGGAAACAGTATTCCCAGTGTCCACAATATCTTCCACCTACCAAGATATGAAACCACTGTCAATTTCTAGACAAGAACAGGCTCAGTTGATACAAGTCTAGGATGTATATGACAACCAAATAAATAGCACTGCTGTAAATGTGATACCAATTTAATACTATACAAAATATTGCTGGTCTTCAAAAAAGTGTTTTGCTCAGTTAACCTTATGCACCATACAGTTGCTGGCTAGAACATCAACAAACATGGATCTGGGAACACGCTATATACTTCCTTGGTCAGACTCCATCTTAGAGCCTCGCCATGAGACACAACCAGCACACAAGGAATCAATGTGAGCCGTGAACTACAATTTAATTTCTCATTCCACCTAAAACTCATTTCTGCATTGGTATTGTCATTCCCACAATTCACATGTCAGCATCATTGTATCAATTATTTTTCAGTTGTTGATTCATCATCTCAGTTGATAAGTCACCATCAAGTATGATTGATACTATTAAGCCTTGTTTGGCTAGGTCAGGATCCCAGCCCAACCACATGGAGTTAAGTTTAATTTGAGCAGACTTCCTGGTCCACCCAAGCAAGGCCTCAGTAAAGTAAGTATTGCTGAAGTGAACATAAGTTTTGTTTGTCTTTATGAAAACGGATGTCCCTTCATGGTCCTAAAGTGAAGATAAGAATGCAAAGTTTTCATGATTTTGCTGTGTTCCCATTTGTCTGAACCAGTTTTGTATCAAAATCAACAAGTTGTAATCTAGATTACTTGTCACATTTTAAAATTCTTTATGAGATGATATTATTGTTAACTTTGACTATTGCCACTGCACAACAAACTTTCCACTCTAATTTCGCAGAACTTCTGAAATCAGAGAAGCAAGGAAGGTGCAGGTTTGCCAAATAACAGAGACATTTGCTTGATATTGTTATAACCGAATTCAACACCTAGTGTTTGTAAAAAAGGATAACTGCAATACTTCCCAAGAAACTGGAATAACCAATACCTAAAAATGTTGCTGGCACTCAGTTGCATTGATTGATCCAAATGCTTTGTTCAGTTTGTATGGGAACTGGATGAGATCAGGAAGGAAGGTACACACTGGCCAAGAGCAGGATCATCCTTCAACTCTAAAATCACATACAAGCACAGCTCCAAAGGTGTATGGCAATTCAAGAAGGCAATTCAACTGCTCACAAACTAGTGTGGCAATTGCGAAGCTTACAGAACAGATTCATTGTGCTCTTGCTAGCTTCGGTGATGCACCACCTCAAAGAGTTCAGGAAGTATGTCTGAGAAGAATGTAGGAAATGGAGAGTTCAGGAAGTATGTCTGAGAAGAATGTAGGAAATGGAATATTGTCTTAGTTAGAAAGAACAAAGCTGGTCCTCTAGAGCATGATGAGATGGAATTCCTACTAGCATACACTAGAAACCACACTAGGGGAGTTAGCAGGACAAAGAGACATAGAGCTATTGGGATTTCATTCCAAGTTGATATGGTTGGGAATTCACTCCGCGGCCGGGCAACACCGTAACTATTGCACCCATATCACCCAGCTGCTGTGCAACACAGCAATGATTTTGCTGTTGTCACCTGTTGACCAGGCGACACGGCCCATGAACCATGCTATCACCAGTCGGATGGGCACGGGGATCGTTGTCACCCGTTCGACAGGGCGACATGGCCCATGTCACATGAGGCGACACAGGCATATTTTTCAAGATATTTTTAATAAGGGTTATTCATGTCTTTCTCCAGAAAAAGGAATATTTAAAGAAATCATGGTGACAACAACCATGAGTGGGGATCTCGCCTGTTGGATGGGCGACAAGGAGCGACATGGGTAGATTCTTGCAAATATTTTGAGAAATGGGTATTCCTCCAAAATCACAAGAAAAAAATACTCCTTGCATTTTTTAATATATGATGTTTGTTCAACATGGCATTTGACCATTCGTCTTATTAAAAAATATAGTGTAAATTTGCAAATTTATAAGTCGTGCTTAAAGTACCTTAAGTAATCAAACAAGTCATGACAAAATAAATGATACTCCGTCTGTTTCACATTATAAGTCGTTTTGACTTTTTTTCCTAGTCAAACTTAAGAAGTTTAACCAAGTTTATAGAAAAAATAGCAACATCTAAATCACTAAATTAGTTTCATTAAAACTAACATTTAATAAATTTTGATAATATGTTTGTTTTGTCTCGAAAATATATCTATATTTTTCTATAAACTTGATCAACCTTAAAACAGTTTGACTAGAAAAAAGTCAAAACGACTTATAATATGAAACGGAGGGAGTATATTTACATAGTTTTCTTAAAAAGTCATATATTTAAAAATGGAGGGAGATTACCATCACATACCCCTAAGTTCTTCAGTTTTGATAATCAAAGAAACCTTCCAGAAACAATTCTAAGAATCATATCTCAAAAGCTAAACATGCAATGAGCCACATCATCTAGAAAACAAAAGCCAGGCTAATATTAGATTATTGAGCTTTTGGTTCTAACAAATATAGGTTGCGCGAGGTATCCACTAGTTGATACAAGAATCTGTGACCATATGCAGGAATGAGAAGGATTAAAAACATGTTACAAATAATAACAGACTAAATTAACTCAATGATTACGTACACTTCTATTAAGCCAGAAACATTAGATTAGATGTGACAGCCTCACAACGCATCAAAGTGTCACAGTACATTAACAACTGAAAGGGAACATGTTGTCATCAATCTACACGTCTTTGCATATCTAGGATATAAAATTCTGCACAAGCTACTATATTCAGTAACCTGAAAGGATGTCACGACACACGAGAACGGCACAACCACACACCGCACGGGTAGGGAGGGTCCGGGGGGGGGGGGGGGTCGGGTCACTCACCACCACGACGTGCTTCCCGGCGACGTCGACTTTGAGGTCGGAGGTGATCCGCGGCCGGCCGCTGGACTCGGTGCCGTCGCCGTACGACTCGGCGCGCACGAGGTCCACGGCGAGCGGCGCGTCGACGCGGCGGACCAGGTCGGCGAGGAAGAGGAACGCCCCCGTGGCGACGCCGACGACGACGGCGGGCTCGCGCAGGGCGCGGAGGTCGGCGGCGAGCTCGGCGGCCACCTCCGACACCCGGGCGGCGATCTCGGCCTCCGTCCACAGCACCCGGTCGATGCCGGCGTCTGCGCCGGCGCCGCCGCCCACCATCGCGGCGGCGGGGAGAGCTAGGGTTAGGGTTCCGCGGCGGCGGGGGCGGCGGGGGCGCGCGGGATTGGGGGATTTATTGGTGGCGGGCGGAGACGGAGGAGGAGGAGGAGGAGGAGAGGAGGTTTTCCGCGAATGGAAAGGGGCGGTGGCGGGGCCAGCGGGGAGGAATGGTGGGATTCCCAAATTCTGCATTTGCCCCCAACACCATCACGATGGAAGCCGCTGACTTCTGTCGGTGCAACCTTTTTTTTTTCAAGACCTCGGACATTCTGGCCCTGATCACGGCCGTTTGGTTGGAGGAAGTTTATAGGAGGGATTGAAAATTTAGAGGGATGGTTTTATTTGATTAGGATACATGGAAATTTTGGTGGGATGGGGAATGGAGAATTGAGGGAGGACCTCCCTACTTTTTAATACGTGGGTAGGGGCGATAATTGTGAGGAAATTCCTCCTTTATTTTGTCTAAACAAATCTCAGCCATCCGTTTTCATTAATGACATAATCTCCAACTAAACTCCCTATCAATTTTCACCACCTCTACCAAACAAGATACTGGGATTAAAAATCAAATTTCCATCTTAATCTCACCATCAATTCCCTCGTATAAACTCACAATTCCCTTCCCTTGAGTTGCCAAACAAACCGGAGCTCCTGATTGTTTAGGATTTCAACTCTAAAATCTATCTCGAGTAACGAAATCTAAATATCGTTTTACCTTTCATTAAAACGAGTTGAAACCGGTTGGTTAGATTTTAATTCTAGATAATATGAAGTTGGAATTCGAGCCTAACAAACAAGCTTGAAATGTGAAGAGAGCTGCTTGAAACATGAAGAGAGCTGAGAGAACAAGATCCTCTAACTTCACATGGTGAAGCTAGAGAAACACATTGCCATGACTTTTGGATATTTCTAGTCGTTTGATTTACTGTTTCGCACTATTGTTACAGTAAACAACTGCATATCATTGTTTTATATTGTAGCACAAGACTAATGTTATTGTGCTTCTATGCCTTTAGCACCTAATGACAGATGATCCGCTTCCAATGTTGAGTGTTACCGTAGCTTGAAAACAAGAGCTAGTAGAGGATAGAAAGGCCCTGTTTGGGGAGCTTGTCCCAGCTGCAGCTTTTCTCAAAAGCTGCTTCTGCTAGAAGCTACCCCAAACAGTTCACAGCTTCTGAGAATATGTAGTTACAGATTCTGAAAAATGAACTAAGAAGCCAGAAGCTGGGTTTCAGAGCTTTTCCAGATTCTCAGAAGCTGGCTACCAAACAGCTGCTTTTCAGAATCTAAAGCTCCCCCAAACAGACCTAAAAACTACCTACAGCCGATAGATGACTATGGTCATGTTTCTTCCTTCTCTTTTACTTTTTGATTCACGTGATCCTACTTCTAGATTTTGGTTTTGTGAAGCTAAATTATTAGAACTTTTGATTTTGGTTTTGTGAAGCTAAATTATTAGAACTTTTGATATAGAAAAAAAATGCACATGTAGTACAAATTATATAGTACACATAGTAACAGTTTTAGAGCATGTTTGCTCAAAATTTATAAAGCAACTTAAGTTATTTTGATTTAAAAAAAATCCATTGATAAACTACCTGGCAGATAGGCGTAATACTATGCTAATGGGGCCATGTGGTCAGTCAGCAGTTAAAAGAAGCTCAAACGATACTTCTCCTCGCTCCTCATGCATAGGAAATTTTAGCAACAGGTCTGACTGGATTTTTTTTTCTTCTCATGGTTTCCTGTACGATTAGTGATGAAGGAAACATTCCGACAATCTACCCGTGATAGTTCTGGGTGGTCCGAATAGTAGGAAAAGAAATATTTCCTATATACACTATTGCATTGAGAATCCTTTGAAAATCTCTCAATCCGAATAGACCCTAAGCAAACCTCAAGTTTTGTTTCTCAGTTGTAGCTTTCCAGTTTTGCATCTTATGAACCAAAAAGTTTTTTAAAAAAACTGGCCCAAAGCAATACTCGTCTTTGTGCCTGTGTGGCCGTGTTGTATTAGAGTGTAGGATACCTCGTAGAGTTTCGAGCACAATCGTGTATCAAAGTGTAGGATACCTCGTAGAGTTCCAAGCACAATCAGAGGGTTTGTTGTTGATAGGGCATTGGTTGAGACTAAGGAGCAGTGGCAACGGCTAGTATGTAGTGCAGGTCGTAGCATCAACATTGCAAAGAGTTGGGGGTGGAACGGTGTGGGAGCCTGGGAGGTCGGCTAGGGCCTATGAAGCAACTAAACACAACTGCATGGCAACGGAAGACTAGCTTGTGCATGAGCTCCGTAGCGAGTGTAAAGAAAGTAAATTTTAGTTCAGAGCACTAGGCCGGATCCAGTCATCTGTGACGGGCTCTAACCCTCACCTTTGACGGATTTGGTTCTGGTCAGAGACAAGTGGTCACTGATGACTACACCTCACCTTTGACGGGTGAAAGCCCGTCACTGGTAATTAAAACCTTTGACGGGCTAAAAAATATAGCCGTCACAGGTGACTCACACCTGTGACGGGTGACTCTTTGCAACCCGTCAAAGGTGACAAAACAGCTGTGACTGGTTTTAGTTCTCACCCGTCACAGATGTCAAAAATCACCCAAAAAAAAAAGAAATGCCTCAGCCCAAATGTACGAAATGAAGAAAAATCAAATACATCTCAAGATGCACATGATACAACAACTTTGTATTTTAAATCAAATACATCTCAACAAACAACTACACATGAAGCAATCTGACAATATACATCACACAAGTATCCATGTCCATTTTAACAAACTACACATCCACACAAGCAACAAACATGAGCAAATCAAGCACAAACAACATCAAGCACAAACAAATCCGGTGGCCGGCGGTCGGTGGCGGAGGCGGCCGGCGGTCGGTGGCGGAGGGGAAAGGCCGCGGACGCTGGATCCGCGTCCCCCGACCTCGTGGAGGCCGGATATGGCGGTCATCGGTCGGCGGCGGAGGAGGCGGCGTCCGGCAGTCGGGGAAGAGGTTGTGGAGGTGGCGAAGGTGTCGGTGGCTGGATCCGCTGTGGCGTCGGCGGCCGGGAGGCGAGGGAAGGCGCCGGCGGCCAGATCCGGCTTCCCGGAGGCCAAACTTGGCGGCATCGGCGGCCGGGAGGCGAGGAAAGGCGCCGGTGGCCAGATCCGGCTTCCCGGTGGCCAGATCTGGCGACCGGCGGTCAAGAGGCGGCGACGGCGTGGGTGTTGAAAGCCGGTGGGAGGCAGAGGCTGGAAGCGTCGCCGGCAGAGGCGGCGGAGATGGAGACCGCTGCCACCGTCGGGCCTCAGCCGCCTCCCCTCCCGCCGTCGGCCGCCACGGCGCCACGGCTCCAGATCCGTCATCCGCCACCGCGCCTCCCCTCGCCCATGCCGGATCTGGCGGCCGGACCGCCGCCGCGCCTCCCCACCCGCCCCTGCCTGATCTGGCGGCCGCGCCGCCGCCGCCGCCCTCGCCGGCTCAGCGCCGCCACGCCTCCCCTCCCGCCCTGCCGGATCTGGCGGCTGGGCCGCCGCCGCCGCCCCCGCTGGCTCGGCGCCGCTGCGCCTCCCCTCCCGCCCCTGCCGGATTTGGCGGCCGGGCCGTCGCCGCCACCCCAGCCGGCCCGGGGCCGCCGCCGCCCCAGCCGGCCCAGCGCCGCCGCGCCTCCCCTCGCCACGGCACAGAGAAAGAGAGGAGAGATAGAGAAGAAGTGGAAGAGATAGAGGAGAAGTGGAGAAGAGGGAGCCGGCCGACCTTATCTCCTCATGTGGGCCCCGCTGGGAGAGGAGACATATATATATATACAGTGGCAGAAGTCATCTCAAACGGGCTGGGACTTAAAGCCGTCTGAGGTGAGTAAACCTCACCTCTGACGGGCTGTCCGGCTGCGACCCGTCACAGGTAACTAGTCACCTGTGACGGGTTAGGACTTAAACCCGTTTGAGGTGAGGTAACCTCACCTGTGACGGGTTCTATTTTTAACCCGTCACAGGTGACTAGTTATCTGTGACGGGTCGTAGCTGGATGCCTCACCGATGACGGCATCCCGTATGACCCGTCAGAGGTGACGGTCATCAGTGACCATTTCGTTTGCCCGTCACAGGTATCCCGTCAGAGATGTGAGGATCTGGTGTAGTGGAGAACTCACTTACCGAATCAAGCGGTTTGCTTTTTCTTCCAATATTGAAATAATTTCGTATTTTTTTCTTTGTTTCCAATTTCATGTTATTTAAATTATGTAATTTTGTTTTTGATTTTATTTATCTTTGCACATGTCTTTGATGTAGTATTTTACTCTCTTTGCACATGTATTTGATGTAGTATTTTACTCTTCGGTTTTTCGATTAGACGAGACAGTAGGGCAAAGTGCAAACCGGATAAGTATAATTGAAATCCTCTATAGTACTGCTCACTAACACGTGCGCTGAAGAGTTGTCACAACCCAAATAATTGTATTTTTTTTGACAGTCTGTCGTATTCTTATAAGCATATATACTAAATACTTATATATATGTCCATAAGGATACAAGGCAAAATGTAATGTCTAACTATCATAACTGGAGCTTAGACACCTACAATAATGGTTCCATTTTTTTTTTACCAGCTACGTTGTTTAATACAAGGCTGGTTCGCTGACCAACTTATTATCACCATGATGATTACCTATACCTAGCATGCAGGTATATGTCCTCTTGTATGACTCTAAAGACTAAGTAGACCACGCTCCCCACTAGGTCTGCATGTCACCATTTCCCTATGACATATCATCTTGACTAGTTTTTGAACACATCAAATAGTAAGAATATATGGGTATGTTGTACATACTCAGAAAGATTAGTACATATATCTATATATATATATTTCTAAAGAAAAATCCATAGATATTAACAATTGATAAATAGTAAAACACATTAAACATATAGTAAGTAAGTTAAATACACCCTGCAAAAGGTATTAAAATAATCGTCATAATATTGTTTCTTCAATCCATTTTTCCTAACTAGTGATACCTTCATCTGAGAATCACGTCGCCGAATTCCCTACTTGTGTGAGGCATTTCTTCTCTCACACTGATATCAGCCGACCCGATATCATTGTTTTAGGTATCGGCTGTCTTAGGCTAAGTATCACAATCACGTTATTATTCTCACTGATAAAATTATCAATCCATTATTCGGATGTTAATAATATTTACTGTTAGATTGTTAGCATCACCATCTCAATATAGTGCAGGTAAGCAAATATAGTAAAGATGATTAAGTAAAATAGTTGATGGGCGTAGTCTTGCCTGGTCTCCTGTCGTTCTACCCGTGCGTCACACTTAGTCAAATATGCAAATCTTTAATATTAATTAATATCTAGATTTTCATGCATGACAGCTACTAACAGCATACTAGTAGCAGTAGGTAGCTAGTTGACGTGACTATACTAAAGAAAGAGAACCAACATGTAGGCCTATTATGTTTAGGGGTGAAAAGTTTTTGCGCGTCACATCGGATATACGGACACACATTTAGATTATTAAACGTAGTCTAATAACAAAACAAATTACAGATTTCGACTGTAAACTGCGAGACGAATTTATTAAGCCTAATTAATCCGTCATTAGCAAATGTTTAGTGTAGCACCATATTGTCAAATCATGGCGCAATCAGGCTTAAAAGATTCATCTGGCAATTTACATGCAACCTGTCTAATTAATTTATTTTTCTATATTTAATACTCTATTCATATGTTTAAACATTAGATGTAACAGGTGGCCGTACTAGTAGGGCATGCATGTAGGTGCTGCTAGCCACTGAAAGTACTAATCTTTTCACTAATATATATATTTTCTTCAAGTGCATTTACTGAACACTAATCCATCTACTCTATAGTTAGACATCAGGTATTTATACTAGCCATATACTCGTAAAAAACAAAAGGACAGGGTTCCATGCATTACCTGGAAAGCTTCTACTAGCTCCAGTGCTCTCAATCTCCCGCGGCCCTCGCCACAATAAGAGTAGAAAAAGTTCTACTGATGATGCAAGTGATATAGGGTCAAGTACGGGCTTTAAATAGAGTAGCTTCCTTCAGACTAAGGAGGACATATGTCCCAGTCTTCATGAGGTGGACAGGTTTCACCCTCTCTCTTCCTTACCTCAGGAGCAGTGGCGGATCTAAAAAATTGATTCGTTGGTTTCATAATGTGTCTATCGATGTTATAGTATGCTAATTATACTTAAATCATAATGTTATAATATATGGATAATCAGTTTTACTGTAAGTTTTACTAAAAGTCGTCGTGTTACCTGACACCGGTACTTATACGGTAGATCCGTCCCTGCTTAGGAGCGTTCGATTCTATCCATTTCATCAATACTCAACGATATTTATCTGTCTTCCTATCCAAAATAATTCAAAAGTTATAATAGAATCTATATATTTAATGTCACGTAGCGTAAGGGTTTTATTATTAGGAGTATTATTGTCGGTGAAGTGCAACACCCGAAAACCGGACCGGCTATGCACGGTACTGCGGTTTTCATTTCTCTTAAAGAATTTTCTGGTTGTTCAAAAAAAACCAGGAGAATAAACCAGGAAAACCGAGGAGCCCACCCGGCCCCCTCTTGCGAGTCGCGTAAAATCATCCTCCCTCCCTTTCTCGCGTGTCGCGTCGTCCCCAAATCCGCTACTCGCTATCCTCCTTCCTCCATGATTCCCTTCTCGAATCTTCTCACTTTCTTCTGAAGTGCTCCGCTCCGCTCCGCTCCGATCCAATCCACTCCGCCCGAGTCCCCCACCCATCGGCACCCACCAGCGCGAGGGTGGGTGGCCATCGATCGATCGGCCCATCGCCGATTCCCGCGGGATCTGCGGCGGCGCGGGGGGATTTGATCGGAGGTGAGAACCATTCGCCGTCCTGGTTGTGTATGGTTCCTCGCGATTGTTCCCTCGCAGACCGTGAAATTGGTCGTCGTCCGTGGAGGATCTGTGCGCATATGACCGTTTGTGTCTAGTTGAATTCACAGTTTGTGGTGATTTGTTTCGGTGATGAGGATTTGGGGGTGGTGGTAGGCTTTATTTCATGTTTGTTGGGGGTGATTGGTTGGGGGGAGGATGAGGGTTGCGGAGGGTATGGGCGATTGATTGGTGGAGTTGTTGCGCTTGTCTTCGTTGGGGGAAATTTATGGGTCCAGATTTGCAGTAGTATAATGGCCTTGTTGGGTTCATCGGATGACCTCGGTCTGTTAATCTAAGCATGGGAAATAGGGATGGAATGGTGTGCTTGTCATGTTTATGTTTCGCCTTTTCGTTTCATGGAGATTTTTTCTCGTGATCACAGGATGTATGGGTTGTTTGGAAGGGAATTCCTGTACCTATTTGTGCTCAGAGCCTCAGATGCAACTCTTGTGCATGTGGGATTCTCCAAGACTCCAGTTACTGGCTGTCCAAACTTAGTCGAGAACAGGACAAACGGAAAATATGAAAATTCTCATATGTTACTTTTGCAACATCCATAAAAAAATTGTATACCCAAAGCAATTTTTTCTTCTGAAATTACAGGCTACTTCAACACTATTACTAGCATAGTGATGAACTGCCTTGATTGTTAGTATGGATTGGTCTGGCTAGTAGGTGTCATGGGTAAACTAAAGAATCTCAGTGTAGGTTTCCCATTCCTTCTATTTAGCTTATTTGGTGACTTGGTATCTACACAGGGTGAATATGTCGACGCCAGCAAGGAAGAGGTTGATGAGGGATTTCAAACGACTGATGCAGGATCCTCCAGCTGGCATAAGTGGGGCCCCACAGGACAACAATATAATGCTTTGGAATGCTGTAATTTTTGGGTAAGGTGTTAGACTTAAGAGATATGTTTTATTCCTTTCGGTTTTATTTTGATCCATTATACTTAGTTGTCAATTATGTCTTGTTTTGCAGCCCTGATGATACTCCTTGGGATGGAGGTAAGGAATTTAAAGTCTTTCCTTTTATTTGGGGTTTGCATTTGGGACTTGGGAGAGTAATCACAGGCATGATATGGGGAAATTTAACTATTTTCCACTTTTAGTTTTGGCAATTAACCAAATACCCTTCTTAGATTTGCACTTAAGAATTTGCCACTGGAGAGAGAAGCTTTTGTAATTTTTTGCCACTTTCTGCACTGTTCAGTGCCACATATACATGCCAGCATGGACCAGGCACACGAAATGACTAATCTACCCTTGTTAGTAATGTCTGTAATATAAGCTGAGTCAGGAATAATATTTGGACAAATTGCTTTCGCGAATCAGTTGCATCGGTATGGATGCTGTTCACTTTTATGAGGTACTATATTAAAGACCGAGTACCTCCACATCAGTTAACAAATCAATATTTGAAGGAATAGATCCACTGAGATGGTTATAACAAACTTTCAAAACGATACTTAGATTGAGTTCTTTTGTTCACTTTCACAACTTATCTCTCTCGTTTTTCATGTGTACGTTTTTCAAGCTGCTAAACGGTATTCCAATTTGGCTGGTATTGTTGGGATGGTGCCACCTGGAGTGAGCTCGATTAAGGTGTACGATAGCATGGTTTGGAAATATTTCTCTCTTCACGTAAAACTGAGCAAAGAATTAGCGCATGACTAATTTAGTTTGAGTTTTAAGAAATAAAGAATAGATTAATATATATTTTTAAAGTAACTTAATTTTATTTAAAAAGTTATTAAAGAAACGTGCGAAAAAAAATGAGGGAGTAGAACTCAGACTGGCGGAGGCCCTGGTTCCGGTTTTTTTCAGTCCAACCGCCGGTCCGGTCGGTCCTAATAACTGTGAGTAGAAGTTAGAAAAAAGACATCCGAATGCAGCCTCAGAAAGTTAATGAACTGACTGTAACATGAATGGTGCCATTGATGTTGTTGCCTTATAAATTTAAAAGGGTAAAATGGGAAGATTGGGCAGGTTGCTGGTTTCTCTTGGTATCTTTCCAGTGAATGAATTATGACTAAGATTCAATGCGGACAGGCTTAGCAACTGAGAAACTTACCACTAGCTAGAAGGGGTAGGTTGGTCATTTTTCACGTTGGTCCATGTTGGCATGCACATGTGGCACTCCACAGGGCAAAAAGTGGCAAAAAGTTACAAAAGCTTCTCTCTCTAATGGCAAATTCTTAAGTACAATCTTAAGAAGGGTATTTGGTTAATTGTCAAATGTAAAAGTGGCAAATAGTTAAATTCCCCCATGATATGACGCATATCTTGTACTTCATTTTACTTCTGTTTTCATATTCAGAGATAGTTTTGCTTGCATAATTCCATTTTTGTTGTTGATATAACAATTGGTTCATTTAATTAATAGGCACTTAACTTTCTGGACAAATGATACAATTTATAATTATCAAACAAATAGAATGTATGAACCTCATTTTTTCTGTCAGTTCAACCCACATTTCTACTGTCTTTGGGATTTTATGTCTCGGAATGTATATTCTACACTTTAGACACTTTTCTTTTTGTCTACAATGGTCCAGCCTTGGAGCATGTAGTTCAAACATTTTAGGTTAATTTTAATTAAAACTTGTAATTTTCTTGTCTAATCGAGTGAAGCATGTGTTTTTTTTGGGGTGACATGGTTTGGAGATCTTATTTTGATTAATGTTTTGAATTCAAATATATGATAGTCTAAATCGTCAATAAACATTTGTTAAAACCTTTTCATCATTAGCTGATCATGTTTTATTGGTTCTATGACTGAGAAAGTGCTTGTTTTTTTTAAAGAGCCTCTGTACAACATAAATAAGGTGATTAACCCGTTTTAAACAGTCTGTTGGGGAAGTCCTCTTTGCCAAACGTCCATTTGATATTTTTCCTTTTTGTATTTATTGGCATTTTGTTCTTGTACGTGTCACCAATTGTACTCTTTTACATGTTAACACTGTCAAATTATGTTTACTTCGCCATCGCCAGGTACGTTCAAGCTGACACTTCAGTTTACTGAAGATTATCCTAACAAGCCACCTACAGTGCGATTTGTTTCTCGGATGTTTCATCCTAACAGTAAGCCTCTCTCCCTGCTGTTTAATACTTGCCTGTGGCATGGTTCCTGTTTCTTACAAGTTATAAGTATTTATGTGGCATTTCGGAACAATAGTCTAACATCCCGAGAGACGTACAATTAAGAACCAGGCTAAAATAAGATATGAGAACTAGTGAGACAATTGAGCTGAATCTGGATGGCTCATGTCAAGGCCAAATGCTACAGGAAACCTATGACAGTTCCACCTCCACCTTCTAGTGACGTTGGCAGTCCTTTATTCTACATCGTTGAAAAGCTGACCTAGGTAATTTCTAAATGTATCAAACAAGAATCAGCCAAAAAATAGGATCCAGAACTAGCGATCTTATTCATGGATTGGATCTAGATGCAGCATAGAAGGCCACCCTGATTCTCCTTGCTTCCATGCCATCCAAAATTATTTTGGTCACTGAGATCAATGTTCTAGTTATCCCATTTTAGTTTCTTTTTCTATCTAATGCAGAAGTTGGTTGTTAAGGCGGTAAGGCATCCTAAGGCGACCCCGGACTGCCTTATCGCCATAGCGGTAAGGCGTAAGGCGAGGCGACGCCTTAGGCACTCCATACCAATTAGATGACAAACAAAATAATCTAATATGATAGCAAATCAAAGCTTGGCAACTCTTGAGCCCACTAGATGGTTGTAATAATTACTTAACCAGATATCAATTTATTAACTAAAAGAACACCATCCTATAAATACAGAGTGAGGGTGCATGGGGGAAGAGCAAACGGGGTAAATATGTGCTAAGTACTAACTACTAACAGGGAGTCAGGGATGTAAGCGAGGGGCAGGGAGTAAAACAGAGCAGTAGAGGGAGGATTATAGTAGATGAGATGTAGAGGAGAGGGAGGAAAACCACAACATAGCAGCAAATGAGGGAGCAGAGTAGAGGATGTAGAAGAGGGGGGAGGAAACACCAAAACAAGCAGCAGAGGAAGGATAAGAACAGGGTAGAGGAAGGAGCAAAGCAGGATCATGTAGAGCAGAGAAAGAAACAGAGGAAAGAAGAGGGTGGAGGAAAGAGGAGAAAGAAGAGCGTGCCTGCTTAGTTTTTGTGTCAATGGTGAGGACCAGGATGATGGCGCAGGTGCAGAGGACCAGGACGATGGCGCAGGTGCAGAGGACCAGGACAATGGTGCAGGCACAGGATAGCCGCAGGCAACAACTTGGATCGCCGCCAGGGATGGAGATGTCGCGAGGGATGGATCGCCACAGCCTCAGACTCCAGCGACCCTCTTTCTGTTGTTTTCTCCTTGATTTGGTGGGATATGGTGCGTGGGGACCTTTTCACCCCAAAAATTGGCGCTTCTGTTAGTTCTGTTTCACGCCCAGGGCCCATGGCGCCAATTTTTTCGGGCTCTTCAACCAATCGCGGCAAAAACCACGCCCTCGACTTCCTGTGGCGTTGCCTTTAGCCATTGTAGCGCCTAAGGACGCAATATCGACGCCGTAGCGGCGCCTTGGGCATAAGGCGGACGCCATAAGCAATATGGTAAGGCGGGCCAGACGCCCTGACTCCTGGCAGCGCCTTACCGCTATAGCGACGCTATGGCGATGCCTTGACAACCAGCAGAACATTGAATAAGGTATCAAATATCCAATTGTTGCAATTATGCTGTTATGGGCCTCATCGCAGGCAGTTAAGAGTATACTAGCAAATACGCAGATCCAATTAGTACTTGTTTGATTTGATGACTAGCTTTGCTCTCGAATGTCATAATTGATGACTAGTATAAGTTTACTTGCATCAAGATATAAAGGACTTTACAGATATGCAGTATATCTGAAGCTTATTTAATGCTTCATACAATTTATGTAAATACTTAAAAAGATCGACTTCTTTTGCTACTTGTGTGGAAGCACTTATGTACCTTAGAATAGCATGATATTGTTGTATCTCCATTTGTTTTACTTTCCTAACATTTTCCTTTTATCATGTACAGTTTATGCTGATGGGAGCATATGCTTAGATATACTACAAAACCAGTGGAGCCCCATATATGATGTAGCTGCTATACTCACATCCATCCAGGTAGATGATGCCTTTTTTGGGGGTATTAGCATGTCATGATGTCCTGTCATGTTTGTTGCAATATTTTGTATCATGTTTATAATTCGTGCTTCTGATTTTGGTCCTGTCTTTAAAAATATTGAGCAAACTCACCAATCTAGTATAAGTGAATTGTCACTAACTTAATTGTTGTCGCCTTAAAATACACATGGTGTTTCCTTATAGATAGTCTGCTTTTCCTCCCCACATGCTCCATTGTTAAGTAGTAAGCTATATTCACTTGAATAATTATTTTTCTTTGTTAGAGGCACTATCACGCGATATACCTGTGGAAGGGTTTCATCTTGAGAGTAGAGATATTAGGCCTCTGTGACTGATTATCACTATTCAGTATTAAGTGACATTGGCACGTGGGGTATATATACATAAAAAAGAATAATATTTCCAGCCTCTGCTTAGTTTTTGATTCTGGTGACAACTATATATAGGCCACGAAGAGTAGACGGCTAACTTCTATATGTAGGCAAACTTCTATAACAGTAACTTTAGTGTGGTGAGGCCGCCTGTCAATAACAACATATTATCTTTATATGTTTTTCATATACATGGTGATATTTATTAATCTATGCTCTATGGAAAATAGTATAGAACACAATAATTTTTATATCAGTTGGGATACTTGCATATCTTGCTTCTGTGAATAACAAATGCATATCACAACAATGCATATTTCATGGACTCAAGACATTGACATATTACAGGCAATTTCATTGATTTAACTGTTCAGTACTTCTATTTCCTGCTTTGTATTATTTCCAGTCGCTGCTTTGCGATCCAAACCCAAATTCACCTGCCAACTCTGAAGCTGCCCGCCTATTCAGTGAGAACAAGCGGGAATACAACCGAAAAGTTCGTGAGATAGTGGAGCAGAGCTGGACCGCGGACTGATCCACTCCATCTAACCATATGATGCCTGATACTTAAAACGCTCATCTTTTCAGTGTGTCGTGTACCAAACTGCTTGTAATTAAAATGCTAAAACAGTAAAACGTGCTTACTGTTATGTATGCCCTTCCCGAATACGAGGAAGGCTTTGGACCATGTTGAGGACCATATGGACTTCTTATATAACATCTATTGTTGCCAGCTACTAAGTGTTAAATGCTATATTGAGTACGAAGCCGTGCCTAAAATTCAATGAGTAATTCTTTTCGCCATTCAAGGAATTACCTCGTGGGCTATATGTATTTTATGCTCTAGTTCCAATATCTATCTTTACCTTGAGGATTAACCAATATCGAGATGGATTCAACCGGAATGCGCTCAGACGTGTGAGTGTACTTGTGTGTGAGAAAAAAAAAAGACAGATTTTTTCAGTTTGTCGTCTGGAATTTCAATCTGGATGGGTAGGGATTAATGCAAAAATCTGAAGCAGATATAATTTCACTGATGCAATTCTTTCTGCGGAAAAAAAAAGCTTTCTCCCGTTGAGAAAGCCCAAGATATTTGTATCTGCTCAGCCCATCTCAGAAATATACTGGGGCCGATATTTTACACCTGATTTTGGGCCCATAACTAGGCCTGAGCCCATGTAGCCTTCCGTGAACTCTTGCGATGTCCCCACCTGTCAGTCTCCGCTCGCTCTCCCGTCCAAACGCCTATATTAACGCGCCGCGCGCCCCCCTCTCCCTCCCAAAAAGCCAAAGCCCCACCCAAAGCGGCGACGCCCCTCTCTCTCTCTCTCTCTCTCTCTTCTCTTCTCTTCTCTCCTCCACGTCGCGGCTCGCGCCTCCAAATCCCCCCCCGCGAGGCGAGCAGGGCGAGGCGGCGAAAGCGCGACGCGCGAGCGGATCGAGGCGGCGGCGTCGGTGCCGGCATCCACCGCGTGCATAGGTTGCGTCGGCGGCGGCGGAAGCGGGGCGCGATGACGGACGGCCACCACTTCAACAACATATCCCTCGGCGGCCGCGGCGGCAACGTGAGTGCTACTCGTCGACTTGGTCGAAAAATTCGCTTCCCCCTCGTCGAATCTTCGCCTCCGGGCTTCGTTTCGTTAGGATTTTGTGGCGGCGTTGTCTCGCTCCCGTGGAGGCGGTTTCCGCGGACGGGCTTGACTACCGGAATTTGTGGCGGCGATTGATTTTGTTTTTTTTTGGTGTGGCGGGCGGTTGATTTTTCTAGGGTTTGCGCGCTAGGGTTTCTGCTTGGAAGGGGGGAAGTCGAAATGAATTAGGAAAATTTTGGTGGATGGACTCGAATATTGTAAGGTTGGCTAGGCAAAACGAATTATTCTGTTGCAAATGCGGCGGTGAAAAGCATTGTATGGAACAATTTTGGAAGTTAAATTAATTGTAAATATTCCCAAACCCTGGGTTTTTGATAATCTCTTCATTCAATATCCTTTCACTAGTCGAATGTCTCATGAAATTGCTCCTAATATCTAGTTGGCTTGCGTTTGGCGCACATTTTAGCATTCATCCTGTGGTTATTTCGTCCATCACTGCATCAATTTATTTAATCGCATCTTATGTCCTACATAATTATCAGTATTCTTCAATTTTAAATACCATTTATCTTCAATTTGCTTGCTTTGTTAAATGATTTATTCCTCTTATGATTTTTTTATCACATGCCTGAAACAAATCACTTTTTGCAGAACTAAAAATGTTTTCATCTGTTTTGTTCATGATTTTTTTTCTGGAAATAGTGGATGCTTATGCCATTTCCCATTGCAAATAGGAATATGTATATCAAGTTTAGTCTGATATCAACGCCAACTTTTCCATCATCATTATTTGCTTGCCCACTGTTAGTAACTTCCCTTGTACCTTGAGGTGCTGAAATCTTCTGCTACTGTTATTGTTTGGGCTCTTGTAGAACCCTGGCCAGTTTAAACTTTATTCGGGAGGACTTGCATGGAAGAGGCAAGGTGGAGGAAAGACCATTGAGGTTGAAAAGTCTGATATCACTTCTGTGACATGGATGGCAATCCCCAGATCCTATCAGCTTGGTGTTTCAACAAAGGAGGGCCTCTTCTACAGGTTCTTTGGCTTCCGTGAACAGGTAATACTTCCTCCTGTTTTTCCTAAGAAAATTAGGTCTTCCCAAACGTGTATGTTTCTCATAGATAACTTTTATTGAGCTAAGATTTTTCTTCTAATTTTTAGGATATCAGTTCATTGACTAACTTCATGGAAAAGAACATGAGAATCACACCAGAGGAGAAGCAGCTTTCTGTTGGTGGACATAATTGGGGCGGAATTGAAATCAATGGTTAGCCAAATTCTCTATATTATTCCGTTGCTCCATTGCCTTTCTGCAACGTTTGGTAGTTTGATTGCTTTCCATGTTATTTCCATTTCAGGCAATATGCTTAGCTTTAATGTTGGTTCAAAGGAAGCATTTGAAGTCTCTCTAGCAGACGTAGCACAAACTCAGATGCAAGGAAAAACAGATGTTGTTCTGGAGTTTCATGTGGATGATACTACTGGTGGTAATGAGGTATGTGGTTTATCCAGATATACATTTCTCTGCATCCAATTTCGCCCATATTTTATTAGATGCTACTTTTCTGTTTGTTAGGTGCAATTGGTTATAAGTAATCAATTTATGTTTATCAATCTGAAGAAATGTGGATGTAACAATTGTACAAGCTATCTGTTACATTTCAGTGTCATGTATTATTAGCTACTCAACTGTCTGCCTTGTAATTAAAGAGTGATTTTACTGTCCTGCTTTTTCATTCTCATTTGATGGTATTGCAAGTAACACACTCCCATTGTTAGAGAAAAACCATTTCATAAAATTTTGGGGTCTTTATTTGTGCTGAAGGGCATATTGATCATTGTTTTCCACCCTACTACATATTTTGGAGGGTCTTTATTTGTGCTCAGAATATTATTAAGGTAGCTAAGCTAATCGTTGACAAAAAAAAAGGACAGCTAATTTCAACTTCCTTTCCTTCTTTTAAATGTAGAAAGATTCATTGATGGATTTAAGCTTTCATGTACCAACTTCAAATACTCAATTCCCTGGAGATGAGAATCGTCCTTCAGCTCAGGTGAGTTTGCTCAACAAGCATGCAAGATGGACAACATACACATGATTTTATTGTGCAAATGGTGAAATCCTCTCCTTTTTTTAGGTTTTATGGCAGGCTATCTTGAATAAGGCTGATGTTGGCTCATCAGAGGAAGCTGTTGTTACATTTGATGGAATTGCTATTCTTACTCCAAGGTGGGTAAATCATATAACCATAGAGACTAGACTTTTTAGAAATAAGGACATCATTCAATGTTATTGTTTTCAATTTTCTGGAATAGCTAACTTCTCCTTTTCTATTCAGAGGTCGATACAGTGTTGAACTTCATCTGTCATTCTTACGACTCCAAGGACAAGCTAATGATTTCAAAATTCAATATAGCAGTATTCTTCGCCTCTTTGTTTTACCAAAGGTTCTGCCCCTTTTATATTTTTATTATGCTGTACTTGTTGTTAACTTTGTATCTGACAAAAAATCCTATGACTTTTCACCTTGGCAGTCAAATAATCCTCATACCTTTGTGGTTATCACTCTTGATCCACCAATTCGCAAAGGACAGACATTATATCCTCACATTGTTATTCAGGTGTTGTATTAGAATTCAATTTGATACTAACTTGGTTACAGTTTACGGTAACCTTCCAATATGCATTTGGTAACCATTTTCTGTATTTATGAATAGTTTGAAACTGAAGCAGTCGTTCAAAGGGATCTGACATTAAGTGATGAGGTTTTGGCTGAAAAGTACAAGGATAGACTGGAGAACTCTTACCAGGTGATGTATTTTGTTTGCGTTCAATCAAGTCTGACATTCTTCATCTAAAAAGTGGATCCTAATTCCCGGCTCATGTAGTTTTGCATTTCTTTCTACATCTGAGCATCTGTAGAACAAAAAAAAAAGTAGTTTGGGGGTGTGAATCATTTTAAATAACTGCTTCCAGCAATGTTATTTGTTCTTGTTTGTTTTAGTTTCTTGTTTGTAGTCATATGCTCTGAGCTGTATTTATTGTGGTAATGTGCTGCTGGATGCTTGCAACTCCAGGAATCATCAGTGCACTGATTCCCAAACTTGTGATTCATCCGTTTATCACTGAATTGCTTGTTTTTTTTCTATCTACTCATGACTCCTGTTTGACTGAATTGCACAAGCTGCTATTGATGTGATGAACTGCTTCTGTGGCATTACTGCCATTGAGTCTATCATTATGTATTCCTTTGTGTTTGCAACTTTGCATGAGTTATAGGGTCCTATAGCTTTTGCTCATTTGCTATTTTTAACTCCTGATAGACTAATAACAAACTCACAGAAAGTATTTGATTTATCTATAGGGTCTGATACATGAAGTGTTCTCCAAGGTCCTTCGTGGCCTATCTGGTGCTAAAGTTACGAGGCCAAGCACGTTCCGCAGTTGTCAAGATGGATATGCAGTGAAATCATCACTCAAAGCTGAAGATGGATTGCTCTATCCGCTGGAGAAGGGCTTCTTCTTTCTACCAAAGCCCCCAACACTCATTCTGCATGAGGAGGTCTGTTTTCTACACTGCTGAGATGATTGATAATTCCATCCATTTGTCCTGTTTTAAGCTGTAGCTCTTTATGGCAGATTGAGTATGTTGAATTTGAGCGACATGGTGCTGGGGGTGCTAGTATCTCATCTCACTATTTTGATCTCCTGGTCAAGCTGAAAAATGATCAAGAACATCTATTCAGAAATATCCAAAGAAATGAATACCATAATCTCTTCAATTTCATCAGGTCTGTGCTTTATTTAGCTGATTCCACCATCATTGGTTTACTTGCCTTTTTGAATAGAAGTATGAAGCTGATAAGTGCCTTTTTGTAATCCCTTTCAAGTGGCAAGCATTTGAAAATCTTGAATCTTGGAGAAGCTCAAGGTAGAGCTGGTGGCGTTACAGCTGTTCTTCAGAGCACTGATGATGATGCTGTTGATCCTCATCTGGAGCGGATCAGAAATCAGACTGGCGATGATGAGAGTGATGAAGAGGTATTTCCTGCGTTTAATTGTTGATCCTACTTATCATGATTCCATGATCTGACTTATCAATCCTGTCATAGCTTGGAATTAATTTGTTTGTATCGGATAATCTTCAACTTCAGGATGAAGATTTTGTGGCGGACAAGGACGACAGTGGATCTCCTACTGATGATTCTGGAGAGGAGGGTTCTGACGCTAGTTTAAGTGGAGGAGAAAAGGAGGTAACTCATTTTACTCACGCAATATCCCTGATCAGTGTCTATAATGAATACATCATGCTAATCAACATTACTATTCCCCCCCTCCAAAGAAATCTTCCAAAAAGGAAGCTAGTAGCTCAAAGGCGCCTTTGAAGAAGAGGAAGCCAAAGGGTGGGGATGCGGCGGAAGGCTCGGAGAAAAGAAAGCCAAAGAAAAAGAAGGATCCTAATGCCCCTAAAAGAGCAATTGCACCATTCATGTACTTCTCAAAAGCTGAGCGAGCTGTAAGTTCCTTTCCACCCTGCACTACTGTACAGAAATTCCCTGACTAATCCTATGTGAAACATTGTGGGAGGATCTCTCTCTCTCTCTCTCTCTCACACACACAAGCAAAGAAGGGAGCTTACGATCGTTTTTCCCAAATGCAGAATCTGAAGAACAGCAATCCGGAGCTGGCTACCACAGAGATTGCGAAGAAGCTTGGGGAGAGGTGGCAAAAGATGACAGGTAACATTCTTTGATCTCTATGCTCGACAATGTCCATGCTGGTCGGTCAAGTCCTCCGAGACCTCCGTTTGAACCATGTCCGCTTCGTGTAACTTGCAGCCGAGGAGAAGCAGCCATACGTCGAGCAGTCTCAAGTTGACAAGAAGCGCTACGCGGAGGAGTCAGCCGCCTACCGCGGGGCGGCTGCCATGGATGTGGACTCCGGCCCTGCTTCGGACTGAAGAGAAGAGACCTGAATTGCATTCCAGATTACCCTTAGTCTAGGAGGGCGACAGACAGGATACGGCTAGTGGCATCTCTATTTCCATGTAAATAAAACTTATGAGTTATCTGGATGTAAATAAAACTATCGTAGGTATCTTTCGAGTCCCGTTCTATGAGTGTCTTATCGCTTTATCTTAGCTATATATATAGATAGCAGCTATAGTATAGTAGAGTTCTTCCCGCCATTTATGCTGGCCGGATAACTTACCTTCACCTATGTAGCAGCAATAAGCATGCTTATCTGCTTAGTTAAATTATAAATGCGTGTTCTAGCTGGAGAATCACCTCTGTTGTGTTGAGCTTGTGGAGTTGCCTGTGCATAACTTGTTCGGGATTAATTCACATATACTTGCTAGGTTTAAAATCATGGGTAAATACATTTATGAAAACAAGCGTATCAGTAGAAAATTTGAAGAGTTAACGAGACTTGTCCTTAGACAATGTGTACTTGGACTTCTGCCAAGGAGCATACTCTCACGGTTGTTTGCGGGAGTTTCCTGGAATCGAAAGTAATAAGCATATACTGTAAACATAGAGAGATTATGAATGCAAACACATTCAAGTGGATATCAGTGTATATTTTGGTACCGATGATTCTTTTTTTTGGGGACAGTGCCCCCCTCTATTGCCATCGGAGTGGGTAACGTTGTGGGCCGAGATCTCCCTCCATTCCCGGCCCATGAAAGGCCTTGTTAAACTAGACCGACCAACCCAACCCATTACTCCGCTTGGAATGGATTCGTGTTCGTTTTACCTCCGCAGATTGCGGCGACCGGCACAGCGACTCCATCCGACCACCCCTCCTGCCACTGACATGTGGGCCCAACTCAACCATTTCCGCCCCCTCTCTCTCCCTCCTTCCCCAAATCAGCTAGAGTGGTCGGCTCGACCCCTCCTCCACGCCTCCGCCTCCGCCTCCGCCTCCACGACGTAGCCCAGGGCGGCTAGGGTTTCGGTTTCCTCCGCCGCCGCCGCCACCTCCTCCTCCTCCTCGTGCGCGGCGGCGACCATGGCGATGGTGCAGGCCGGCATGGGCCTCACCCGCGTCGTTGTCCTCATCGGCGCCGGGATGGCCGGCTCCGTCGTCCTCCGCAACGGCCGCCTCTCCGAGATCCTCGGCGAGCTCCAGGTGCGTCGCGTCTCCACCGCCTTGGGGGGAAGAATCCCCCGCTCTTCCTCCTCACCTGAATCGGTGATCCTGGTCCTGGGAGAGGTGGCGGCGCGCCACCGGATTGGATTTTGATTTGGTTTGGTTCTGATGATGATCCGTGCCTTGCGGACCTCTCTCACTCGTTGCAGGAGATACTGGACAAGGGGGAGAAGGGGAAAGACGGAGAAGGGGGCGGGGGCGCCGACATGACGGACGCGCTCACTAGACAGGTGCGTCGGTGATCTCCCTGTCCCTAGATGTTTCAGCTAGTATATGCTCAGGGATGTGTCCGATTCAGCTGTTCGATTGATTATTGCGCCATTTTTCTTTGCCATTAGTTAGGTGCTCTGGCTTCCCCACCAGAGCCCCATGTCAATAGGAGAAGCATGGGATGCATTTTAATGCGATTATTGTATTTAAAAATGGATGTTATCTGTGCCTATCAGTATATGTATCTATAGCTGCAGTGATTGCTGAATTATTGTTTTATAGTGGCAATGATTCACATTGCATTGAGTCAGTTCTGCTTGTATTTTTTCTTATTTCTGGGAATTGCTAGCTTCAACAATGCATTAGTTGTTCTTCCATTATGTATAAGTTAATATTGTCATGTGATACATTAGGTTGTGGCCTTGGCATTTCTACGTTCACAATGAAGAGCTGTTGAGTATTTTTGGAAGTGTATAGTAGCTGTTGTAATATTAATTATTACTACAAGCCACAACACAAGTGTGTGCTCATAAGAAGCATTCTGCGTGTGTTTTAAACAGCTGTGGTATATGCAACAGTAAACATACTACTTCAATATTCCCATAATATTTTTTTCATTGTCATTTATGAGTAAAACAGTTTGCCTATCTTCATACACATATTTGATACTTTGTTTAATTTTGTCAAGCTAGACTTACACCTTGGTCCATTTAGGTGCGCAACTTGGCTATGGAGGTTAAACAACTTGCTTCTTCCCGTGGATCTATAACTGTTCTTAATGGAGGTTCTGGTCAAACAGGTCAGTCTAGCTTCTGCACAACCTACATAACTGTTACTTCCTCAGTCTAGACATATATGTGTGCCTTGATTCATTAACATCTATATGAATGTGGGCAATGCTAGAAAGTCTTATAACCTGAAACGGAGGTAGTAAATCACAAGCTCCACCCATTTTATTTGCCCTCTTTTTTTCTTTTCTTTCTTGTAGTGTTCTGACATGAGTATTACTTATCGCTTGGCTTCATTTTCTCTTGTTTTAAATTTGAAAGAATTCACGTAGTTAGGGAATGAGTGGACTGAACAATAATCATTACTCACTAATTCAGCCTACATATTTCTGTTGTAGCTTATTTCAGAAATTGGCTTAATTAACCAGTGACCTCTTTGATCAGACATTCATGATGTTAGTGTTCTTGATCTTCTTTTTTGCAGGGGTGTCAGGTTTGATAGTACCTGCAGCAACTGTTGGAGCACTCGGTTATGGTTACATGTGGTGGAAGGTATGCTGTACTTCTATCATAGCCTTTATGTTTGTGTTGTGATTGTAATAGAGTAACTGCCAAATTGTAAGATCAGCTTTAATTTTGGCTGCTATTTTTTTTATCAGAAACCAAACCTAGTTAACTGCTATTTCTTCAGCTGGTCTTGTTCTGTTGAATTGTTTTTTATGTCTTACATCGGCAGTAGAAACTCTTTGGAAGAACAATTCATTAATATGTTTTGATTGTATTTGTTATCCAGGGCATCTCCTTTGCGGACCTAATGTATGTGACTAAGCGTAACATGGCAAATGCTGTTTCCAGTATGACTAAGCATCTGGAGCAAGTGCAAACCTCTCTTGCTGTAAGTCTTACTGTTACAAGTTTCTTTCCTAGTTCATCACGAAGCATTGCTTTTTCACTTGTCTGTGAGAGTATGGAGTGTATACTAATAATCTATGCCAGGACGAGTTTAATGCATCCTAATTCATCTGCATCTAACGTCCACATTTTCATCTTAAAAACAATCCCTGTATACATTTTCATCATATAGAACATCACAGAATTCGGTTGTATGTCACTGTTGAGATGTTTGGTAGTTTGTTGTACAATTTCTGAGATCCTCAATTGTGAAACAATTTTCTTGATTGTCATGCAGGCTGCTAAAAGGCATTTGACTCAGCGTATTGAAAGGTTGGATGATAAATTGGATCAGCAAAAGGCGCTTTCTGGACAAATAAGAGATGATGTACTTTCTCCTTAACATTCATATCAATCCATGTTTGGCATTAACATGTCTTCATTTTCACGCGCATGGGTTGAATAATTAAGAAATGTCTAGTAGCATATGCCTATATGCAATTATTAGCCCAATTATATTTTAAGATGCACTTTTTATTTCTTTTTAGGGAAGTGAACTGTGAGAACTTACAGCTAAGTACATTCTTGTTGTATCATTTTCACTTTTCAAATATCTACTTTTTTATCCAGGTTACTGATGCACGACTGAAGCTTGAGAATATTGGTTCAGAAATTAAGAACATCAAACAATTGGTTTGGGGTCTGGTTAGTGTATTTCTTCCCAGCCATTCTTTATAATTGCCTTGTTCAGGTTGTTTCAATCCCCTTTTGCTTCTGCAGGATGAAAAAATGGATTCGATGGAAGCCAAACAGGTTGGCCACTTGGCATTCACTTAGAAATGTTTGTGTGTTATTTCTGTCCTTTTAGTTTCACTATTTTCTTTTTGCATAGAACAATGCGGTAGTGCATTCTAAGGGTACCGGTTTTAGCCTGGGCAATGATATTCTGAGTTGGAAATACTCCTGACTCGATGTGTGTTAGCCTCATGTCCCAACCTTAGTGAAAAGTGGAGATTGGCTGGCTTGAAATTTGCTGGGGAAGTAATGGAATTAGCTCTTCAGATTTTTTTAGTGCATGCTGCACTTTATTGAATTTGTTTGGTGATTGGACTGAGACGGCAGCCCTTATCTCTTTTGTTCCAACTATACTTTGATAAGAAAGACATCTGTTACACCAAACCTAGTGTTCTTTTCATCCTATTGAAGGTTGAATTTACATGTATTCAGTTTATATGGCAAGCTCCTTGAACCTTGGTTTTTGTTATAATGACTAATTATATTTTATCAACAGAACTTTTCATGTGCTGGTGTGATGTACCTCTGCCAATTTATTGAGCAAAATGGTGGAAAGCTGCCAGAACGCCTGGTATGAGCCTGAGCATTTATTATACAATTCCCAGTTCTGGCTTAATTATGTGTAACTTATCAACTATTCTGTTCTTTTCATATGTATGCCTTGTGCTTATATGACATCCCTTTGATGACAAGTCATGCATTCAGTTGCCACTTTTGTTTAAATTTGATTTTCTAAGGATATTTATTGAATGTTAGTATTGCAGAGTATTTCTATGGTGTTGTAAATTGCAGTTAAGTAGCATGTATGGGCATGTTTGGATTGATGCCCAAATAAGCCTGACTAAAATTTTGGCAAGACCAATGCATTTAGCCATTGTGTGGTTCATTGCCAAAGCTAAAAAATTTGGTTACATTGTTTAGTCTCTTGTTGGTCTCAAACTAAACAACCAAAGCAGCTCTGCCAAAATTTTGCCAACAAACTAAACACTCAACTTTACCAAAATTTTGGCAATGCCCATATTTTTGACTTGCAAATATTTTGCTAAGTTTGAGATGTCTATAAAGCAAACAAACTTTATGTTCTTTATATTTGGTATGGTGTATGCTATGTTCAGTTTTTATCCACTTCTCTGAACTTCTTTGTTCAATTTGTACAGGAAGGCTCAAAAATGGCTGGGAAGCGTTTTGGAAGCCAAAATCTCATACAGGTTAGTAGTAACATTGAGAGATGGTGGCACCACAAGTTGATTCTCAATCCTGATTTTCCTACCCAAAAAATGCTCAAGGCAATTGCACTTAAAATATTTGTGAGATTTATGAAAAATTCCTGTTGCCAATATCTCGGAGAAGTGTTCTGATTTCATTACCTTAATTGAACCTACCAACTAAGTCTGGATTTAAATATTTTTGGCGCTGGTGCTGATAATGGCCTTGTGCCACTGCTTTTCAGGGGTTGCAACTGGCCATAGAAACAGGGAATTTTGACAAGGAAACGTTCAATGCACTTAAGAACAACTCTGATTCAAGATAAACAGGTTCGAGGACTGACCCTTTGCATGTTGTTGCCTGAGCAGCTGAGCTTATTACTTACAGAGTTACAGTCATGTTCTGAAGGAATGACCAACAATTTTATAGGTCCAACGTCTGCCAAAGTAATTTTTGTCAGGGCGGTATCCGAGGGCATCTCATCTTTCCAGACCACGCCCTCCATTGAAATGCTGTAAAGGATAATTTCTTACTAGTTTAACATGTAAAAAGTTCCAGCCTTTTCAAGTTTTCTGCTTGCAGAAGGTGCTGCTACATTTTAAAGCTTGTGCAATACTTAGTGGTTAGGGTTTTTTTACCGTGCTATGCTGGCACCGCTTGTGGTTTCAGAATTTCAGGCAACACTTTGCCGTAAATAAAAGGACAACACGTGTGGTTCGTGTGATGTTTTCAAACCCATTTCATGTTTTATTTGTAATATATGCTACAAGCTTACGTAGATTTTCAAGTCGGCTATGATGCGCTGTTGACAGGTTGGTGATGTACATAAGCCCAAAACTGGTTGTGACGAAACCAAACTGGTCTTCGATTTTGTATGTGAAGTTGTGAACTGCTCACGCAGCAGCACACTTGACGACTAAAAAAACATCCACGTTGGATAAATATTTCGTCAAAAGCAACACGATCTACCCCTAATTTTACCAATGTCTCGGCAGAATAATCCATCGGAGATTGATGGCAAAGTTTATGAAAAAAGCCTTTGGATAGACTAAACATCCAGTTGTTGGGTTGCAGCATAGCGACAACATAGAGAGCACAGCTGCCACAGAATTTTGGTTTCTATTGCAACTGTCAAGTAAACAGAGTTTGACTGGCTAATACAAAAGGCGGTTCCAGATGATTGTAAACAAAATTTGAGGGGTATACCCACTGGTGTATTTTACCGCTGGTGCAATACAAAAGACCAGCAATGATGCTGTTACACCAATCTTTTCAACCACAAACAAAACGATCACTTGGGTCCAGCTTTTCCATAGGAATCCCGTAGAGTAACGGTTCTGTTGAACACAAGTTCCTCAGCCGTCGAGTCGGAATCCACAGCAAAGTAACCTGTAATTGCATAACACTATGGCAGTGAGCAACAAAGACACCATAACATTTTTTTTATTTTTTATTTCCGATTTAAGACACCATCCAAATATTGTTTACCGAGGCGTTCAAACTGAAATTTGTCCCCCAGCGCTGCAGTTGCAAGCGAAGGCACGGCATAGGCACCCTTTATCACTTCCTTTGATCGTGGGTTGAGATCACCCAGCCAATCCTCAAGCTCCACAGGATTCTAATGTAGACCAAGAAGTGATGTCAGCAAGGATAATTTCCGGTACAACAGGGACTTGCAAGAGAGTGTAATGCTATACCTCTGAAAGAAATAATTTCTCGAACAATCTGATTTCCACTTTGAGCGGGTTAACACCTGGAGAAGGTTCGGCAACCCAGTGCAACACACCCTACATATTGTACACAACATCATGATCTCATAAATTCAAATAGCAGAATAATATTCTCATCTGATCTAAAAGAATTTCAATTGCCTAGTTACCTTTGGTTTTGTAGCCTTCGAAGGGTCATACTCAGCTCGGATTTCAATGATATTATCTGAATTATCACCATAGATAACTTCCGTACATTTTATTGGGAATGCATACCTATCAGTTTCAGACGGCAAACATAGATGAGACCACAAAGTATACAAAGTAAGCAAACTAATTAAGTACAGAGTCTACAGATGTATAATGTACTAGTACCTTAGTAGTACTGTTTTACCAGGAGCAAGCCCATAATAATCTTTTGAATCCTTTACACGAAAATCAGACTGCTCGATGTAGACAGTTCTTGAGAATGGAACCTAGGGATGACCACAGTTCCAGAATCAGAGAAGTGATGAACTTATATTGCTCAATGTGTCTAATCTTTGAGCAGAAGTGCAGAACCAAAGGGACTCTGTAACCACTAAACCAGATTTTTAATTCTCAAAATGATTAAGTCATTCAGACATAAGAATTACCTTGTAATAGGCCGAAGCATCATCTCCTGGAGCATCGGGCCACTTTTTTGCATCAAGGTCTATTATTGTTCCATAGTCTAAATTATTTATAACAACCTAAAATTTACCAAATTAAAAGAAAATACTATCAGTGCGTCAATTAACAAAGAGAAAAATAACAAAACTTTTGCCAAAAAAAAAAAGAGAATGCCAATTGCTAAACCTTTAGGGGATGCAAAACAACCATAGCACGAGGAGCTACTTTGTTGAGCTCTTCTCTAATATGATACTCAAGGCGTTCTAAGCGTATCAAACTGTTGTCACTGCATTGAAAGGATAAAATAATGGTATCAGTATATTATGTTGACAACTAGAAAAAGTTCTGCTGATATCGAAAGATGGAAGCATGTCTTTGGGTAAAACATTTCTCCTTACCTCCTTGTTATGCCCATTCCACGAATAAAGGAGTTAATTGCTGTTGATGATACTCCTCTCCGCCGTAGTCCTGCAAGTGTCAACAGGCGAGGATCATCCCACCCATCTACCCACTTCTCTGTCACAAGTTTATTTAGCTGCAAATCCAATCCATATTATAGAACCATATATCAAGGATCATAAGATTGATATAATTCTCCACAAGAATCAGCGCTATACCTTTCGCTTGGACATAACATTGTTTGATATGTTTAACCTTGAATATTCCCAAACATATGGCTGGTACTGGTCCAGGGATACGAGCAGCCAGTAGTATGAAGGACGACGTATGTCAAATTCTAGTGTGCACAACTGGTGATTGCAACAGCCATATGTCAAATTCTAGTGTGTACAACTGATAATTTCAACTGATAACATGTTAAGGCTCACACAACCAAAAGTAGTTAGAGAGAAACTATTACCGAATGGGTAATGTTTTCAAGAGAGTCAACCAAACAATGAGCATAGTCATAGCTTGGATAGATAAACCACTTGTCGCCAGCATGGGGATGAGGTGTAAACTGTGTAGATATATAGAAATATATTAAATTCTACACTTCACAGAAAACAGTAACTCCATAATGTCGAATTGTTTACCTTTATTCTATATGCTATTAAGTCAGCCATGTTCTTGTTATCATTCTGCATGTCTTGTTTCATCCTAAGAGTTGCCTTTCCCTCAGCAACCAACCCATGCCTCATATCTTCAAACAGTTTTAGTGACTCTTCTATAGGCCTATCCCTCCATGGACTATTCATTTGCTTTTCTCTATACTCCTTTATCTCTTCTGGTGTCTGGCAAGCATACAATAGTCAATTTACACATACTGTTGCTTTCTCAAGAGGCGTTCAGTGATAACAATTTAAAAAGCTATATGATTAATGCAGTCAACTATCAATCCAAGGAAAACAAACCTGGTGATCGACATAAGCTAGTCCCTTCTTTATCAAACAAACAGCAAGTTCATATAATTCTTGGAAATAGTCACTTGTATAGGTAACTTTATAAGGCTCCCAGCCCATCCATCGGACAATTTCTTGAATGTGATCTATATATTCTTTCTTCTCCGCCTCAGGGTTTGTATCATCAAACCTGTTGTTCAGATATTAATCATGTCAGCATGTTTTGCAATGCAGTATGTCCATATAAGGAAGAAAAGGGCAAATCAATGGACTTGAAGGCTCCTTTGGAACCATAACATCTAACTATTCCTTCGTACCTAAGGTAACAATGTCCGTTGCGCTCTTTAGCCAGTCCAAAATCAATAAACATAGCCTGTGCATCAAAAATCTTGTAAGCATCATTTCAGATTTTGAGAAACCAGCATTTGCAGAATTGACATCACAGGTGAAAGGGATAGTCACAACCTTAGCATGACCAATATGAAGGTAGCCATTAGGCTCTGGGGGAAAGCGGGTCATCACTTTTCCTCCAGTTGCTTTAAGATGTTTCTCTAAAATGTCCTTTCTGTTGTGTGCTCTCCATATATTTCCATCGCTGAAGAAAATTTCTGTATGGACCTACTCGTAAAGAACAATTTTCAGCTTCAAGGCCATTAGAGAATTCTTTATTTTGAGGAATATGGAGTATCATTGCATATCCTATATAACAATCATCTTACCTTTAAGTTTTCCTCCGGTTGAGGAAATATGGAGTAGGGATTAAGTTCTTCCTCAGATGGTGGAGCAGGAGCAGCTACCGCAGTTTTTTTCTCCTATATTTTGTCAGAAACAAAACTGGATGAGGCAGAGCTAATAACTAAACAGTCCTGCCATAAAACTTGATTGAATTTCAGGTAACAAACCTCAACTTTTGCGGGCTTCTCCTTCTTCTTTTTCACAGGCTTTACATTGTCAGCTTCTGTCTTTGGACCAAGAATCTCTGTAAGCCTTTTATCAATTTCCTCCTGTAGATTAACAGAAGTAATTAGTACAAGCCATATCACAAAGTTACTAGTAATAAATAGTAGCAATTAAACAAAAAACTCCATAATTTCAGCCATGAAATGTATTAAACCTTTATGAACTTAGCATCGCCCCAGGGGTGCCACTTCCTAACCTGTCCGCACAAGCTGCCAACTGGAAAACAAGAAAGTCAGGAGCAAATGATGCCCAGCTTTCCCGACATCACAAATCGAAAGATAAAACAAAACCATCAATAACAAAGTAAAATGAAAATGAAGCAGAAAACAAACCATTTATATGATATCGCTGTTCAACTATGGCTTCCATGTTTTCCTTCAGGATATCAGTGACCATTGACTGAATCTCTTCAGTTGAAACAACCACCCCTGCAGGGGAAAAAAACGCAGGCCCTTAAACAACAGTGAGCTGAAAATGGGCATTTGAAGGACTATTGATTTATCAGCCAACTATAGTATGTGCAAAATAAATTGTGGTTGACTCTTATCAACATAAGAGTTGTTTTAGCCCTGCAAGGTATGAATTCATCAACTTTTCAAAAGCTTGTGGCACTACAGCTTTCAAGCTTTAGTACTGTAGAAGATGAGAAATCATATAAATATAAATGTAATTTCAACCAGACAGAACGTACCCACTCCACATGTCTCTTCAAACTTTGCTGTGTCCAATGGATCAGGACCCAAAGTAGAAAGAAACGACAGAGCAGCATCTAATTGCGCGGGGGTCTTGATCTGGAAACCACAATTTGTCAAGTTCACAACACTTACGAACTCAGCCACACAGCAGCAGTGTTTACAACACAATCACACACAACAGAACTCACCTTTGACGACACAATGTATTGGATGACAACGGGACGATGCACCAGGGCATTCGCCGGATACTTCGTCGCGACCTACTCCAATGCGCAACCAATTAACACACAAACTAACTATCACCAATTCACAGATTTTAATTAGATCAATACTACTATCATATAATAACTCAGCAGCGACGGATGCTCACAGTGTAGAGAAGATTCCCCACAGATTTGTCACACCCACTAACACCAGCCTGCAGGCATAAGCATGGGTTAGCTAGTCCCCCAAACGCAAGGCGGCGAGACCGAAGCGGGAGGGCGGCGCGGTTACCTCGGCGATGACGGCGGTGAGGTTGGCGGTGACCTTGCGGTTGGCGAGGGCGTTCTCCGCCGTGCGCTGGTCAAGCCCGATCGCCAGGAACGACGCCAGCTCCGGCGGCGACGCCGCCGCCGCCGCCGCTTCTCCGGTCGCCATCTCCGACGGATCCCGCGGCTCAACTCCGGCGAGGAGACGAAGCGGAGGCGGCGTGAGAGAAGAGGAGGCGGGGGTGGGGCCCACTGTCAGTGTCACAGAGCGCTCAAACCCTAGCCGTGTGTAGTAGTGAGTACTACTACCGCAGGTCACTGGAGAAAAGGGGATACGAAACGCACTCCGTCCAGTGGAAAAAGAACTGGATATAATCCGGTTCGCAGTTTTGGCCGTCAGATTGGTTCACGGACGGTGGCAGATCAATCTTGGGCGCACATTGGTCGCTAGTACTACCTTTCCATGTATCGTGGGGAGATTGGGCCACTTGGCCCATTAGGAGAAGCAAGTTAGGCCCATTAATTTTCGAGTTTAGGCCCATCAGGGTAATCCCGCGCCCGCTACGATAATGACTGGTGTTCGTTTTGTTCTCAACTTAGCTGTGTTCGTTAGCTAGGGTTGGGAACCATCTCCTCTGCACGGAAAACAGAGCGGTCTATTAGCGCGTGATTAATTAAGTACTACCTCCATATTTTAATGTATGATGCCGTTGACTTTTTGTCTAACATTTGACCATTCATCTTATTCAAAAAATTTATATAACTATCATTTATTTTATTGTGACTTAATTCATCATCAAATGTTATTTAAGCATGAAATAATATTTTCGTATTTATACAAAAACTTTGAATAAAACAAATGGTCAAATGTTAGTAAAAAAATTCAACGACGTCATACATTAAAATACGGAGGGAGTATTAGCTAATTTTTTTCAAAAATGGATTTTTATTTTTTAAAGCAACTTTTGTATAGGAAGTTTTTGCAAAAAACTTACCGTTTATGAGTTTGAAAAGCGTGCGCACGGAAAACAAGGGAGAGAGGTTGGGAACAGCCTGAAACGAATGCAGCCTTATTTATGTTCCGTTTATCTAATTTATTATCTTATGGTATATGTATGTTTCGTACATGTATAAAGAAAGGTACCTAAATATTCCCTCCGTCTCAAACTATAAACATTTATAGACTTCGACACAGTTTCCGAGATGCTAATTTGACCAACAGTATCTAAAATAGTAAAACATTTTAAATAAAAAGGAGTTGCATATTATGATAGTTTGTTGAATGATAAATCTATTAACATAAATTTTACATGATTGATGTTTTAAATTTTTTTTTGTTACTAATGTTCAAAATTAAAAGATATTTGACTTGGTACTATTCTAAAATGCGCATATTTTGGAACGAAGGGAGTACTGTATAAAACATCATTTGACTATGCATAGAAAGGGATGGTCACTGCACTGCGACGCTAGATTGCCGACAAATCTATCAACAAAAGCGAGGAATCTTTTGACAAGATATTTGTCGGCAAAAGGTTTTCGGTGCACTATTTTATATTTAAGAGGATATAAGTGGATCGGCACGTGAATCTACTTATAAGCTAATTAAATTGGTTTATCCTTAAGTTACCCATTTATTTGGTCTACTGGTAACATACTCGTACATTATAACTGGACCGTATCATCAGGGTTAGACTAGGATGGTGGTTGAGGAACATTGGACCCGGTGATTACGTAAGCGGAGTGACACAGTGGGGGAGGGTGCAAAGAGGATGACTTCGTTTTTATAGTAGAGATAAGTAGGTTGACAGGTCGACCCACTTGCACAGTTAATTCATAAAGCAATACTGCAAGTATATAGCGGCAATCAGCATAGGTTAGAGCTGTCTTGCTCAAGGAAGGACAGCATACAGTTAGATTGACACACGAAAGTTAAACAAAAGGACACATTCAGATGAAGGAAAAAAAAAGAAGGTATAGGTATCTCGAATCTGAACAAAGACATGGCACACATAACATCCAATCATTTTCAGCATCATGGGACATCAGATGTAGACTTGCAGTGTAAGCTCTGGACAGCTTACCAACTTACGATGTTAATACCTTTGTCCACAAATTACAAGACGACATTACTGAACTGTCAGCTATGGGTCAAGATAAGATGAGTTTCACATTGCCTACTATATTTACCAATTATATTTGAGCAGCTGAACCAAGGCTCTATAAACAGTAATCCATCAGCAGAGACTATGGGTTGCTATTGATGGGGTAAAAGTAAGAACCATTAGCCAGATTTCTGCGCTATCAGACTATAAGGATCCAGGCTCACCTCCAGATAAGAACTTATGGGCCCAAGCTTCAAGGTACTCCCTACCCATGTTCATGAAAAAGCTTCGATGCACTTCAAACTCTGGTTTACAAAGGCAAATTCCAACTGAGAGTCTATCAGCAGGTGTCAGTGGGATTTCTTTCAGCATGTTCCATAGAGGAGCATTTGGGTCCGATGATGTCGGTGCTGCTCGTATTGGTTTTGCAGGGGTGTCATGGATCCCAGCTAAGGTACTCTTTACCATATCCGCCTTCCTGCCATCATGTGGCACGGGTGCCTGCGGTTTTGGGTTTGGGGTTGTTTTTGTTCTGCTGACTACTTTGCACTTCTTCAATCCAGGCTTGAGAGCAGCCATTGTGCTCTCAGCAAAGGATCCAGATGGCTGGGCAGATGGTGCACTAGTGTCAGACATCACTTCACAAGGCACTGCATCACTACTTGCTGCCACCTCATGACAGTCATCTTCATCCTCCAAAACAAACTTGTCCAAGTCTGCCCCATCAGGGTCCCTTGCATCTGCACAATTTGCCATCATGTTCAACGGATCGAGGATTTCCATGTCATCATCGTTAATGTCAGCAGCTTCAATTGGGTCTGTCACAGGGGCAGCATCCACTGACCACTCACCAAAGAGAGCTTGTATATGATCGAAGAATGGAATTGGTTTAACAAGAATTGCACGCTCTGCTATCTGTACAAGGAGGAAAAGAATCATTAGTGCACTTGGAGAATAGTGAAACTGCAATCATCTCCAACGATAAAAATACTTACAGGTAGACTAGCCAAAGTTGAAGGAGGTAGTATTAGCATTTTGTGTTTCTTGTCAAACCTACTCCCACTCATATTCATATAACGGGCCACAATATTCCAAACCTCCTTGAAGCGCCTAAAGTGGCGGTGGACCTGATCAACAGTGAAAGTTGTCTCAAATCTAGCATTTAGTACGGTCGTGCAATAATGGTGGTGCATCTTCTTGAACTTGGTCTTGGGTGGCATCTCCTTCTTCTTCTGAAGGTACCAATCAAGCACAAACTTTGACATGACTGTAGGCCAATTCGTGGCTCTTGCCCTTTTGATCTTAGAGTTGTCACCCAAGTCCATGATGTGATGGTCTACAAGAAGTAGATTGAGTGACAGGAGTTAAGAATATTATGGTGTAAAATTGCAGTAACCTCATTGATAGTAGGTAAATCATACTCCCTCCAGTCACAAAAACCCCACTCTTTTTGATTTTCAAATATATCCTAAGTCAAACTTTCAAAATTTAAATATGTACATATTTTTTAATATTTGCATAGGATGCATGAAAATCATAGGGGTAGATTCACTGAAGAAAGAACTTTAGTAATATAATAATATTGTCAGATTTCAAAAATGCATCGTAATAGAAATTAGTGATCAATGCTGCTTTTCAAATACTATGTTGGCGTCCAAAATGACATGTTTTTGTTACTGGAGTGGAGGGAGTACTTAAGATTCTGCGGAAACAGTAGAAACTATCAACGATAAATAAAAGTATGAACACAATACAAGTAATAGTTGTGGCAGCAAGTGGTGTATGCATTAATTAACATTTGCACTCTGCATTGTAAAGCATTACAATGCAAATGCAACATCAATTTTCTCTCCAAATCCGTGAAGCAGAGTCATCGAATTATAAGACCTATTGGTAATGCATCACTGCTTGATCTGTAACCACTCTAATTAATATAGGGAGTGTTTCAACCACCTTTGGTCTCCCCAAACCAATGTCACAGAGCTATTAGTAAACTAGCTACCTATTGGCAGTCCACCACTACCTGATCTAAAAAATACTATAATCAACTTCAGACATCATACAAGACATTGTTTACGCAACTATTATCCAGTGTAATTAAAGAACATGAGTTACAATCATCAGTTTAGCCCCGCACGAAATGGAGGGTCATTGGGTATGGACTAGAGAAATCCTGAAGTTCAAAGTCTCATTCAATTTTCATGTAAATATATATACAAGGCAGTAGGTAATTGCACAGTTATTAGAGGAGCACACCAGGATGACTCCCACCTTCATACTTCTTTGAATGATATTCACCATTCTGAACAACTACATGATGGCCGTGTACTATGCCAATCCGCATACCTTTAATCGGCTAAATACTGCCACCCTAGAAGTAAAATCAATCTGGTGTCATCACCTTGTGATCATGAATGTGCTCTCATTTTCACACTAGCGAATTCGGTATTCCATCCGTTCAGGCATCTGAAATCCTTGTTGACCAATTAACTTATCAAGGCTTCAGCAGCAGTGTTATCAGGACATACATTTCCAACTACTGTTTGGCATGTTGATTCTTTTCCATGCATCAACTTGCTTCTTACATGTGCGACACTCATCTGCCAGCTCTAGTGGTGTTGAACAACAAACAAATTGACCATTTAACATTGAACAGTGAATAACAGCTCTACCCAAAAAATAACATATTCCAATGGTTTCTATCAGATGTCTCCAGAGAGACGATTCCTCTGTTAAGAACGCGTCGAATTTTTCCTCACACAAAATACGCGCATACATTGTTTGGAATAAGCACTCTGCGGCTTTCAATCGAACTACTCACTACTCGATTTTGCTCCTAGATTTATCCATCGAATCCCTAAGTCATATCACCGCAGGCCATAACGAATTCGCGATAATAATGAAATAAATTCCTAGCCTAATGCTGCATATGGATCACCTAAGAGCAATCACTGAACAAACTAAACTAGGTCACGCGATTCAACCAAGCCCTTCTCCCTATCATTCCAAAAGAAAAAAAAACAAGAAGGAATTGCAGTTGAATCCCCCACGATACCTTGCGCTAGCTTCGGCGAACCCAAATCACCCGAGCCCTCGTCTTGGCCGCCGGACATCGTCCGTCTCCCGGGTGCGGCGCCGCCCTCCCACGCGCGCGCGCGGCGATTGGCGTGGCTGCTAGGGTTCGCGAGGCGCGAGGGCGGGGTGGCGGCCGCGGCGAGGAGGGGAGACGGCGGCGAAGGCGAAGGCGAAGTGATGGAGGACGGGATGGGGTTGGGGAGTTTCTTGTCTGAGGCTGACCGGTGGGGCCCACATACCGAACTGGACCGAACCTGAACCTAACAGTGATTTTCGGGTGTGTTCGGCTCACCGATTTGACCGAACTATAACCAAACCTAACCTAATTTCGTGTAGTTTAATTTTAAAATTTTTGGGGATTCGATATGACTGAAAATCGAGCAAGCTGTTACATCAACTGGCAATATAGTAACTTTAAAATTCAAATTCAAATTACAGAGGTACTTTAAAAATCTTCTACTATAGTAGCTTTAAGGGATTTTGACATTTTGCTTGCACTGTTTGACCACTCGTCTTATTCAAAATTTGTGCAAATATAAAAAACAGAAAGTTGTGCTTAAAGTACTTTGGGTTATAAAGTAAGTCACAAATAAAATAAATAATAATTTCAAATTTTTTTGAATAAGACGAATGGTCAAACAGTACAAGCAAAATGTCAAAAATCCCTTATATTAGAGGATGGAGGGAGTACTTAATTAGGACTGGAATCCGGACAGGAATCCTACACTTATTTAAAAATCGTAATCGTTGTGAGCGTTTGTATTTGTACCGTGTTTCTTCCAAAAATTCGTAAGACTAGGATGTGTCATATCTATTACAAGATTGCTATATTTAGGATGAAATGAGTACATATCTGGCTATTTCCTGAACTTTTAGTTCTATGGTTCAAGCTTGTAAATGCTTGTGTAAAATATTTATTTCAAAATTTGATCAATATTTAGTTTCAGTATTTAAGATTTTTTTTCAAGTAGTCATTATTTTGTTTGTAAATTATATTTTTTTCTCTCTCGTATTTCAACTCATACGGTCATACGCTAGCTGATTTTTGCTGATCTTTCAGTACTAACCTGATTTAGATACCAAAATAAAATAAATAAACATTTAATTGATTGACGTGTAGGTCCATTCTGATGGCTACAGCTTTGCAGTTTTATAGTAGCAAAGTTGCTCAAATTTGGAAAGGGTAATTATAGGTTTTGGGTGCTTTCCTTTCCGGTTGTGATTTACCATTGCTTAGCAATTGGAAATAAAAAAAATCAATAGTTATAGGTTCATTCCCACTAAATACAGTTAATGCCACTTCTCTCTCTTCTCAGTAAGACATCACCTTATTTTTTTCTAACCCTTGGATTATTGGTTTATATCCAAATTATCTTTTTTCTTTCTCTTCTCTCACGAAGTCATATCACCTAAGTTTTCTTTTTAGATGATTAATCTATATTATCTTATTTATTTTTCTTCTCTCATTGAGCCACATTATCTTAATTTTTCTTTTGAGTGATTAACCTATATATTAACTTAGATTATTATAAACCACACCATCTTGTTTACATCTTTTTATTTAGTAATCGATCAAAGATGAAAATTATATAAAATTATTATGTCTAGCTATCTTATAAATATTTTTACTATTATCATAAAAAAAATCTCTTAGCAACGTGTGGAGTTTCATCTAGTTATTATTAGTACTAAAATTCATCAAGTCAGATGTCAGAGTGTGGACGCCACCACTCCTTCCGAAGACTCACCAGCGAGGTATCGATGTACTACTTCCATCCCCATTCCCCATTCTCTTTTATCTCTCTGTGACTCTGCTTTGCATGGTGCATGTGTCTAGTAACAACAACTAAAAAGCTTCAAAGGCATGATCTTTAAATACTTTATCTTAAGCTATTTATTTAATAGGTTAATTTGATCCATGCCATTAAAAATATTTTATATTAGAAAAATATCATTACTATTTGTGATATCGGTTGTATGCCACTGAAACTTTCTAAAATATGATCCATGCAATCGCCGTCACGTTTTCCATCACCACCGTCATCCTCAAACAACGGCAGCAAGCAGTGGCGATGGGGTGGAGCTCGAGCAAGAGGTAGCGTCGACGGTGGTGGAGCAAATGGCAGCATCGGCCGTGAAGTGATGGCATCCGACATGGTCTGGCAGATCCAAAAGCAGTGGTGGACCTGGCACGGCACAGCCTGGGGATGAGCAGAGCGCCGATGCAAGGAGGTTTCGAGGCCACGAAGTCAGCGGTGAGCGGTGCACGGTGCAAAGGAGAGTGCAGAGGCATGGAGACGATCGAAGTGGACACTGAGACAGTAGATGAGGCGTGGAGAAAGGTAGCAGCGGCCGACGTGAGGTGGAGCAGCGGTATCACCAGTGCTGACTGGGAGGCACGGTGGTGCCATGCCACGTGTGAGCAACGGAGGAGGAGAGATGAGCGAGACAAAGATCGAGAGAAAAAGGAAAAAAGAAGATGAGGAAAAAAGATGGAAGAATGGTGGAAAGATGGAACTGATATGTGGGTCCCACGTCAAGGGATATTTTGGTCTATGATGATGATGGAAAACGTGACGGTGATGGTACGGTTATAATTTTGTGCGAATTCGAATGACGTGATACGGATAGATGAATGGTAATAGCATTTATCTGAATTGACATATTTACAATGGCACATATCAAATTAACCCTTATTTAATTTAGGATCCAATCACACCACTGTGTTAATTGTAATTTTTTTTTACAATCAAAGTAAAATACATGATACGTACTTGAACTTGGTTTCATCTAGGCACATGAACACTTGTAAAGTTCAAACCTATGTTCTTGTCGAAACATGAATTCGGCAATAATAAAACGGGGTAGCGCACGAGACCTAAAAGTGGATGGATGTGGAGACAAAGGATTTAGACAGGTTCAGGCCCTCTCAATGAGAGGTAATACCCTACTCCTGTTTGGGGATTTGAATCCGCCGAGGGTGTATTGATCTGACGATCAGGTTGTCTCATGCCCCCTAGAGGGCCTCCTGCCCACCTTATATAGGGTGGGGGGCAGGATTACAAGATAGAAACCTTAACCAATACGGTATCGGTTTCCTAAATCTACTTTACAATATTATCAAACCAGGACTTTAGGCTGTTCCGTAATATATAAGGAAACGTAATACCCAAGTCATGATCTGTTACATATTCCATATATATAAGTTATCCCCTATAACTAGTCGGATAACCATGCCGTGTGGGTATGGGGTACCCATAATCTCCACAGTAGCCCCTGAGACCTTCACAGTCGAAAAGATAATCTTCTCTCAAACCAGATTACTCCAAAGCCGAGTACTTCAATCATCTTTGCCATGGTCTCCCGAGTACTTTTACCAAATCTGAAGACTGTGGAGGGCTGAAAAATAAAGTCAGGTGCATCGACTAGATGCACCTAATAGGTGTAGCCCTCGACTATGCGGTTAAGTGAACAAACCAAGCATATAGTCAAGGAATAAATAATCCAACCAACCGAGTGGCTTCAATAATTATAGTTAACCAAGCGACTTGATATTAATATGTAGCATATGCGGTGTAAATCCCTGAATAACATGATCCGAGTGATATACCGACTGCTTTGTAAAATATGATGAGTGTAACCTAAAGTTGGCTACATTATTGAAAATTCACATAGCAAAACAGCTATAAAAAAGCTTGTATGTTGTGAATAAAGAAATTTCCAAAGTATTGGGCATACGCCATGCGCACACTGCTTTAACAGATGTGCTTAAGTCCCTAGAAGACACATGGTTCCACCACACCTGGAAATATATGGCATATGTGGTATAAAATCCGAGTAAATAAACTCATAAAGGATTTACCAACCGCCTGAAAAATGACCACAATATATAATCAGGCTAAGCCATAATATTGGTCAATAAAAATGCACACTTACGTGGCAAAAAGCAACGATATTGTATCCAATCAATTGCTTAAAAACCCAAACAGCACCATGACTATATTAAAAAGTCAGCGGGGCAGCTATATAAAGCTTTACTGTTTGACACCTTTTAAGATGCATTGTACCAACTCCTAAAAAGTTGAGTAACTGCGGTATAAAAGGATTTTAAGGTATTGGGCACTTGATCACGCGCACTTTGGCCTAAGCAAAAAGTGCCTAAGTCCCTAAAAGAACGTGACAGGCCACACCTGAAAATATGGGCTGCAGACATATTAGGCCTAGGCCAAAAAATATGCCTTCGATACCCTTTAAAGGATGACGCATGTAACATGCTCCCGGGTGATATAGACCATGTGATCTGAGTGATTATCCCTTATGGAATACTCCAAAATAGATATAAAAATTGAATCCCGACTGGCGCAAGTATTCGGTTGATAACCCTTACGGGGAATAATAAATAGTCCAGTCTTTAAACATAGAAAATAGACCCATGATCATGAATCCATATTGCATGTATCCAGAGCAAGTCCAAATTGAAGGTATGATACTTGTGTTTGAGCTAGTAAGCCCCTGAGCACGTAGTCACAATTGTTCATTGATGGTAGCTGACGCAATTGGCATAGAGACAAGACGACCAATACAGAGATAATATTGCCCAGCAGAGGTGGCAAAAATATTGGTGGTAGTGAAGATAGTGATACCAATCAAAAGTGATGAAGTTGCACAGCCGTGGAGGCGAAGAAACCAGTCGGCAGCAGTCAGATCAGCCAGCAATGAATATGAAGGCGCTCAGCGATAAAGTTGTGTAGCTATGGCAGCGAAATAATCAGTCGGTGACAGACGAGGCAAATCAAAGGCGATGACGAAATCCACCAATCATGAAGATGAAGAAAATACTTGACGACGACAAACGCAACCGATATGATGAAGATGACGATGTCGGTGATCCAGCCAATAGCAGTGTAGCAACCAATGATAATGACAAAGACGCTCATCAGCATTTGCATAGTAGGTCAACCGTGAAGGTGAAATAATAAGTCGGTGAAGACATAATCATCCATTAGCAACAGCGGAGATGTCAGGGCCGATGAAGCAAAGGTGCTGGTGATGATGTCAGTGACAATAATCCATCAAATTAATGTTATAGCTGTTGTAGATGCTTCACTTGGAGGAGAGTTGATGCTGTTGTCCAACTCGTCTAAATCAAAATATTTGATGTTGTTGAAGTAGAATGTCTGTTCTGAAGCAAAGATGAAGATAATGACTCCTGGAGTTGACTCGTTGGTT